CTGACTGATCTCCGACAAATTTCCCGTTATTCAACTATTCAACATCTTAACACATCTTCTCGAGTCTAAGGGTAAGTTGCGAATAATACTGACGGAGAATTTCATAATCCGCACGCGGTAACTCGACCTGTTTAGGAATAAATATAGGAACGGAGGGTGCGCGAAGGGCGAGGGTCTCGTCGCCATCCTCCCTCTCCCTTCCTCCCTCGTCGTCGGTCGTACTTGGACGTCCGTCGGTCGTCGGTGTTGAAGCCAGCTCTCTCCATTCCCAACCCTACCACTCTGCTGAACCCCGGCGGTATCGCCATCCCTCACCTCCCCTTCGGTCGTCGTAGCGCCCCCGCAACCCCCGCGGCAGCCTTGGTCGAACGAGCGAGGGAAACCCTTCCTCCCTGTCCCCAGAGCGCCTACGCCTCCCGCGTTGCCCCGGCAACCTCAGCTTGGGGTTGGCCACCACCGCCTCCGTGTTCCGCGGCTCCATTCACCGCGTCACCCCCTCCTCGCTCCTTCTCCTCCGACGCGTCCTCCGCCCTCTTCTTCCCGCCGTCGTTCCTCATCCCTGTCTTCGGCCTCTCTTCCATTTTCCCGCGCGCCCCATCTCTCTCTCTCGCCCGACGTTGCTACTTCGCCTCGGTCCAACCCTCGTCGGTCTTTACCCTTCTACCCTGGTTTCAACCTCGTCTCGTCTGGAGTCTGCAACGAAAAGAGAGATCGAGGAGGAAAGAAAGAGACAAAGAGATGGAATGGAAGGTTCGTCCAGGAGGAAAAGAAACGAGGAGAGAAACGGCAGCGATGACGGTTCCTCTGGAAGCCAACCGGATTAACGTATCTCGAATAATTCATGCATATTTTCGTGCCACGCGTGGAAACGTGTTAGACCGAGTCAATTTCAGCAATGATGACTGTAAAAAAAAAGAAAGAGAAAAAAATGAGAACGTGGAAACCTAATTTATAGGCATTTTTTTAAAACAAGCTTTACATTAACGACGTATATCGAAAATATCGACTTGGATATGTAAATGTGATGTGCGCATCTATTGTTTACGAACGATAATTCTCTTAAATTATACGTGCCGCATAATAGCATCCGTTTGTATAATTGTCTAAGAATAAATATGAATTATTCGTGTAAATCGTGGCGAAATGCGGTGTAATTTCAAGCAGAAACATCGTCTTTGACGAGCAGGCGCCGCGTGTCGGTTCTCGACGTGAATCTATAAGCGACCCGACCCTCTTCCGGGGGAGACTCCGACGTCGTCAACGACGAGTTGAACTTGTTACAACGTTACGCGATTCCTCCGTCGAGAGGGAGAGTTCTCTTCGCTCGTGTCTGACACTTTTTCGCCGCTAGTGTAGGGTGAATCAAATTGTCACCGCGCTGAAAGCGGTGAAGGAAAAGGACTATTCGATCTTCCAAATGGAAGACTCGTATGGCTGTGTTGTTGCACGCAAAAGAGGGAGAGAGAGAAAGAGAAAGGGAACGGGGAAGGAGGTCGAAGGGGGTTAAATCGATGGTAAACTCTCTCTGTCTCTCTCTCTCCTCGTCGACAGAGGGGAGAGAAAGACCCAGGCTGCTCTTGACGAACTCGGCAACTGAGCAACACCGGGAGACCGAACACCCGAAACTTCGAATCGGTCTCCGATCTCCGTCCCTTCTCGCAAATTCGCCCAGGTAATTCGATTATATCCGCGTCGCTCGTCCTGCGAGGTGAGTCGCGATCGATAATACCCGGCCCTTCACGTCCGATCCTACCGGTATCCGATTTTCGCGGTTGAAAGGTATCGGCTTTCATTGCCGTCTCTCTCGGAGAGAAGACCGAGCCGCGAAGAAATCCGCGGCCGCGGCGGCTGTCAGTTATATCAGCTGATCGTCCGTAACTATTCACGGTAAATTGGACGCGCGCGATAAACGATCGAGTTATTTTCTGCAACATAACATTTAACGATTAATTAACGGAATAAGCATCACAAAGTGTTGAATATCATGGAAATTTCACGCAATTGAATCGGCTTATCGCTTTACTCTCTGATCTCACATAAATTCTATCCATTCCCGATTCTCTAAAGTTACAACACGAAAATATCTTATCGCGTGATAATTCGATTACGCGGAAGTGACGAGTGTTAAACAGAGATAAAGGAGCGAGATTCGAGCTCGGTCGCGGCGACAAACAACGTCGCCACCGCCGCAAGAAAAAGATACGCGCGTATATGTGTGCCGTGTATGTGTGTATATCGTCGCACGCTATCTTTGAAATATGTTTCATCCGGGTCGCGCCGGCATTACATGGAAACGCGCTATATCGGCGGCGTTCCGGGACAGATAACCCAATTAAAAGCTACGCACATACACAAAGACAGGGCCCGCTGGCCGCGCATGTCGCGCCCTCGTAGTCGTAGAAAGGCGCACCCGTATCCGATGTAAAGGCAGATACGACGACAGATACGCGAGCGTCGACCGTTCTAAAATCGTTAATCGGGAACGCGAGCCGGAGGCTAGTTTCCATTCTAGGCGTTAATTGATACGACGCGGAATTGCCATGTACTCTTTCGAATTCGTTCCGGGATACACGCGATAAAAAAAAGGCGCGAAACGTATGCGAATCGAGTCGTGCACAATCGCACAGCTGTGGCAAGTTGTCGAGTATGAGACAAATAAACGAGTGTACTTGTGTATATGTAAATTTTTATGCGTGTGATAGTAGAATTGTAATCTTTCAAATTAAATAAATTTCTCTACAATTACATTACTAATCATTTTTATCGTATCATCGTAATCAATTTTTGATTCTCGCATATTTTATTTAGCTCCTTTTCGACTAGAGGATTAGCAACTGAAAGAAATAAAATAATAAATCGCACGAAAGAGTCGTGAGAAAAAATATAAAAAAAGAAATGAAACATTTAAAGTATTACAGTCGAAATTATTCACGCAATTGTTAGCGTGTGAAGCTTAAGGATATATAATTATTATAATTATGTTTCTATAGAGTTATCGACGTAGCTAAATCTCTCGCGAAAATCGACGTTGGGAATTAATTAAAACGCTACATCGCATTTCGGGACGCGCTGTTTCGCCGGCGATTCTCTCTTTCTCGCCGCCGCGAGGTTAAACCTGGATCACGTGGATCGATCCGACGGGGGGGGCCGCGATAGATCGCGATGGATCGCGGGGTCGCTTGCGCGCGCGTGAAAAGTCCGGGGGCGTAGATAACCCGCGACGTACCTGAAAGAGTAATCACGCACATACGGTACACTATCTATCTACCTACCTACCTACCTACTCTCTACCTGGCTGCCGCTGGCATGGCCGATCGATTACCGTATAGCCGCGCGGCGCGGTGCGGTGGTGCACGGTGTTCCTGCCGCCACGTACCGCAACTACGTGACAAATATTATCGCGATCGACCGACCTGCGCCGCGTTTGATGTGGACGCGTTTATGAAATGCCGACACGCCGATAATCATGCGCGCGACTGGCGCCCCAAGGCTAAATCCGATTTGTAATATTAATCCCCAGCGTCGCGCCTCGACGCGATCTCTTTTTCTCATCCCTCGTGTGTGCATGTGTGCTCTCGTCTGTTTTTTCTCTCTTTAAAATCCCAACCGAGGAAAACGCTCTGAGCGTGTATACCCCGTAACATTTTTAAATGAGAAAACAAACGCCAAAAAAGTTACTCCAAGAATATTGTATATTTATTACTCGCTCCATTTATTATTATCTAATGAATAATTTAATTTATCAATTATCTCAGTTTCCATGCAAAAAATAGATATAATTTTTTGTCGTACATCGATAATTTGTGTCGCGAGTCCGAAAACGATTCGACTGTTTTTAATCATCTCGACGCGCAAACGAAAATTCAGTTATATTCCTAAATCCCAATTAAAATGTTAGTTAAAACGAAATATGTCGGCGCGTGTCAACAGTGCCCGTTTTCCAGCTACAAAGTTTATTTTCGCTTTGCTCTGTATAAAATTAGTCGTGCGAGGGAGACGATTTTGCGTGATTAATCGCGAGTATAATTCATTCCGGGAGCGCGTTGTTTTTCCCCGATTGAGATTGTTCTGATTACAGCGTTATATTCCCCGCCACGGGGATATATCGGGTGTCAACGATCCGCGTTTAGCGGCACGATAAACAGCCTGAACAAACACCGGGACGGAAAAGCCCCGGTGCTTTTAACTACGAGAGCGGCCAAAACACAAATCTGCGCGCCACTCTTTGTGGACCGACTTGCCTCGCGTTCTACTCGCAGAGGTGAATTCTCCAAACACGCCGGGCGCCATTACGAGGCCAAATGGATCGGTATATTTAGTTGACTTTGGCCCGCACTCTGATCTCGCGAGATCTCCAACAGCTGGTCGCTGGTCCCTGACGTATCCGAGCGAGAATTCGTCCGCCGCGTATGCTCGCTAATCGCTCGGGCGATCATCATACATACGTTATTCGTACGTTCCTGCGTCCTCGATTCATCGTGCAGCAGCACACGCGGATGCAACTGGATGAATGATCAGAAATGTAAGCCGAGCGAGCTTTTAAAATTAGAAATAGTGGAAGAGACAAGAGCTCGTAGTCTCGTCGACGCGCCGTCAGCCTCCCTCCTGTCCCCCCCCGTGGAAATTTGCGCGCGACGGGCTCGAGCAGACGGAAATCCTTATCCGTCGTCAGGCGGTACAGTCCACGGGCGCATTCAAATAGCGGCACGCGAATGTCTCGCGACGAGAGACAGGCAGGCACGCGTGGACGCTCGAACGAGGAGGACTGTACGTGTCTCTAGTCTCATCGCGCTCCCCTTCCGCCGCCGCTCGCGCTCGCCGCCTCGCGTTCTCTCGCTCCATCCACCCCCGCGCCCCGGACGCCTCCTCGCCCGTCCTCCCCGCGCATACCGTGCCAGCCAACGAGCCGGGGCCGCTTTCGCTTTGTGCGCGCCGGGGCGGCGGTACATCAAAGCCTTCTAGTTCCCGCTCCGGCCTTTGACGATCGCGTCGCGGCCGCTCGCTCAGTCATCGCTCGGTTGTAGGCGATGCCGGCGCGCCGTAGATGAGCGGCTCGCGCGCGCGCGCTCGCACGAGGAGCGCGGGCTCCTCGGGATCTGCCGCGGGATCTTGGCCGCTCGATAAATACTCGACGAGGAAGAAGGGCGATCGGATCTCTGGCCTCTCTCGTTCGCCGATGTGTTTACGTGTTCCGAGGTGACTTTGAGGTGATCGCGACAACGAGTAACGCGCAATTGGAAGATGTCGCCTCGCGGTGGCAAGTGCGCGCGTGTCAGCAAGGTGGCGACCAGCAAGGGGCGTCAAGCGCGCGCCCAGCACGTCTCTCTGGGTCTCGCGGGAACCGAGGAAACAACGACGACGATCGCGACGATGACAACGACAACGACGACGACGACGACGGCGATGGCGACGTTGACGACAACGATGACGTCGAATGGAACGGCGGTCGCAGCGACGAGAATGGACAAGCCCGCGGTGCACACGACGGCGTGCAACGTCGAGGGTCGATCGCAGTGGTCCGGGCGCATGCGCCAGTCCCTGGGGAGCAGCTCCGAGCCAGCCCGTGAAAACGGTACCCCGTTGCATCGTTGTTATCTGGAGAGGCAACGACGACGAGAGAGACACATCGCCGCGGGGAGGAAGCATCGACCGGCGAGGTGCGCCGAGAACGCCGCCACCGTCGCCGCCGGCTCCTCGTGCTCGTCGACGTCGTTGTCGTCGCCGCCGCCGGCGCTTTCCTCGCCCGCGTCCTCCTGCGCGTCCTCGCGTCGCTCGACCTCGCCGCCGTCGTGCGCCTCGTCGCCGGCGCGCTCCTCCACCTCGTCGTCGGTCACGAGCGATCCGCTAGCGATCAAACCGGAGGCCGGGAAGTGGAAGCGGAACACCGCGGGAACAAAGCAGGACAGCGACAGCGGAGCGGCGACTCATGGAGCGACGGAAACGGCGACGATTGTCTCCTCGACCACCGTGTCCACCGCGTCACCGTTCCCCTCTCCCGTGTCCACGTCCTCGGCGTCCTGCCGGACGACGACGACCACGCCGCGCGGCCACGTCGGCGATCAGGTCGCGCATCCGTCCTCGTCCGCCCTCGAGAGGCTGAGAAGTGTCCTTGAAAATTACGATCGCGGTCGAATCTATCTCGCCCACGTCTGCTACCTGGACTGGCGGGACCTGCCAGGTAAACGGCGCGGCGGAGGCCGCGAACGAGTGTGGGTGGTGGGGGCAGCGGATCACGAGGGCCATCATCGGACGCGATTGTTGGTGGCCGGCCGTCACTGGCGGCCACGTTGCTTACGCAAGGTCAACATGCTGAGCCAGCCGGTGGTGTACGCTGGTGGCGGTAGGGGCTCCTTAACCGCCGATCTCTTTCTCTGGTGGTTTCATCATGAGTTTGCCGTCACAGCCATGGCGATGCATCCGGATGGCGCCGTGTTGGTTGCCGAAAGCGCCGATTACCTGCCATCGGAGGGTGACTGCGTGGCCGCGGACGGCCTGGTGCGGCTGCTCGTGGTACCCAAGGACTGCATGGAGACGCGGCTGGTGATTCGAGAGCTGAGAGTGCGTCTGGCTACCGGGTTACTGTCGAAGGCCCGCTGCGGCGTTTATCGCGATAAAATCTCCTCGACTTCGGGCGATCAGGTGGCCGATCATCGGTTGGACGCGTACCTGAAATGGTTCACGCTCAAAGAGGCATTCGCGGATTTCCATCGCGCCTGGCTCAGCATTCGGTCGGATACTTTTGCTCGCAGTTGGACGTTGCCACGTGATCGCGACGATCACGCGCTAGCGGGACGTAACGGCGCCATATTGCCGTCCAGGATCCATGCGGTGGATCAGGAGGAAGACAGAATGCTACTCGTCGAGCTGCGGAATCTTGCCAGAGAAGCCGGGTTGGAAGTCGACGACGAGGAACTCGGTAGATGGATCGTCGACGAGGAGAGCGCTTTGGCGCGGCTTGTCAGGAAGCAGGAGCCGGACGAGGAGCAGCAAGGATGTCGAGTGAAGGTCGAGACGGAGGACAAATGGTCGGAACGCAATGGCGAAGAAGCTGAGGATGGAAATGATGGCGTCGATGAAGACGACGACGAGGACGAGCCGACAGCCGAGGAGGCTGTCGGGCTTCTCTCTAGAGTACTGACTTGGATGGAGAGAGAGCCCCTCGATCCAGGACTCTTGTTGGCGATTAGATCGATGCGTGATACCGCTGCACTTATGGTAAGCGACTGATAAGAGACCTGCTCGCGAACCTTTATATCGATCGTCTGCGAGAAGCGAGAGCGAAAGAAGAGAGAGAGAGAGAGATAGAGATAGAAAAGTGAGACGAGAGAGAAGGGAGGAATCGCACGCAATCCTTCGAGTTTGCGAGCAGATTGAACTAATTTCATCGACTGTCACTTGACAAAGAGCGACCGGAGGGTTAAAGAAGTAGTGGGCGGATTACACTGCTATGCCTCGAGAAGTGGCACTCGAATTCGACGATACGGCGAACGGAAAGGTCGAACGAACCCTCGAGAAGTACATTCCTCCCTCCACGTCCCGTCTTTGCAAATTAACGCTCGAGCTGGTCCTCGATAAGCATTCCCCCTTGAAACGAATCGAATTGATGAATATCGCGTTTCTTTTGAGAATCGTAAACTGTAAGTCCTCGCTGTTATCCTTGTGCCTTTCACGCCGTTGACATTACCGCGATACCTAAACATAATCATATGATAGGTATTCTCAAACGTATACACAGTGTACATTATATCACGCATGCGTCACATGCAAACCCGCCATAAAGCAGCGTAGTACCGTAAGCAGCGGATAAACAGGCGATTATTATCAGCATAAAGATAGAGATAATGACTGCTGGCAAGAAAGATTGTCCAACTGATAAATCTTATTATTATACATACATTATTTATATTATAATAATTATGTATAATTCATTAGTAGATGTACGTGTAAATTATTAAGAATTTAATAATATTTCAGATTTTTTTTCGCCTTTTATAATATAATATAGCATCATGATAATTCTCCGAATTATCTTCTCTTAAATTACATGTATTTATTATTCTCTCATTAAAATATCAATATGTCCTTTATAAAATTTTTTTTACAAATGTAAATTACAAATGTAATGTGTTTTTCATGAAGCAATGAATTCTACAGAAATTCAGCGCTTCGTAAAAAGGCTGATTTTAACGAAGAGAATCTGCAAAACAAATATATCTTAACAGAGACGAAAAGTCCAACATAAAGTGAGATATATGTGTACTCAGCGCATTAACGCTCGTTTATTTTGTTATTTTACAGGCAAGCAAAATGGCAGGTCTGGCGGGAACGCATCCGAGCGGGCTGCCCTTCTTTTGCCCAAATGGGGACCATCTGACGCAACCACCTCCCGCCCATATGGGCATACCACCCTACGGGGCGCTGGACGCTGGCAAAGCGGCTGCCGCGGCCGGTAAGTACTGTCGATCACCACCCACGCATCTCTAAAAATATTTCTTTGCCGCAACATGCTTCAATCTCCGTCTAATTTTATATCCGTGACTTTTCTCCTCGCGGTAGTTGTTGCATTTCTCTGATCTGTGTTTGATAATCAAAATTTATTGCGTCGCAATAATTTAGTATATTTGTGTTGTAATTATAATTTATTACAATTTTTTTATTTAATTATAAGTTTTGATTATTTTATTTAGATCATTTATAATTGTTATGTCGAATTTGTTATACAAGTCATTGAAAAACGAAATGAAATTTTTAATATATTTTTAGAAATAATATATATTTTTAAAGAAAATTAGTAAATCATTTTTTATGTATTTATATATTCGATATATTTTGTCGTCATCGGAGATATTCTCTTTTCGTGTTTCACAAATTTAATAAAATCTTAGCGGCGGGGAAATTGCATTTGGATTCTACTAGGGAGATTGTTACTTTCGTAGATATAAGATACGCTTTTTACTTATTTATTTGGAAGATATTAGGACTAAAAATCTCTAAATTGAATATCATTGATGTACATGATTTTTAACTATTCCGATATTATCGCAATTTTTGTATTAATTTCCATTTATAAAGCAAATGAAGATTTGAGTAATTTTTTGTCTAATTCTCTTTTATAAAGAGAGAGAGACTTGTAGAATTTATAAAATGTGAAGTCAATAGGCACAGATTGCAGCTGTAAATGGCAACATCAATTGTATTTACGTATCAACTTTTGCAGAAACGCAAATATACAGCCGCTAATAATATAATAAAACTTCATTTGACGCATACACTTTCGATGTGTATTATAACTTTGAACTACCGCTGTATCATACTGATCCTCCCTTTCCCCTCTCTCTTTTTCTCTTTCTCTTTCTCTCTATGCGTATCGGTTGAATCAACAATTCTTTCACGAAGTTAATCCGTTATTGTCCGGCCAAATATTGACGTTCCTCTCCAATTGTAATTGATGGAATACTTTTCGTCTCGCTTGCGCGTAATCGACACGCTTCGCCTGAAGAGAGAGAGAGAGAGAGAGGGTGGGAGGGAGAGAGGGTCGTTTTATATATAATTTTATTGTAGCGAGCTGCGCAAATATTAACGTAACCGTTGTAATCTACCAAGCGAGTTCGGCCTTTGCGCGCAAACCGCTTTTACGGCCGTTAACGTGCGTTGATGCGTTAATCTTTGTTGCAGCGATTTGATAGACGAAATAGCAAATTACGATTAACGAATGTTATGAATAAATTCACAGTGGATAAAGTGATATATATATATATATATTACTCCAGTTAAACATTTAAATCTTTAAATACACGGATGGATACAAAACGGCGACGTAAAAGTATGAAAATGTCTTCGCGTTCCATCCTCTCTCTTTCTCTTTCGGGTTAATCGCAATCGTATTCTCGAATTAAAGTCGCGAATAGATGTGCAAACGTCGACATTCCTAATTGAAGGAATATTTTTTATAAAGTCAAGAGTCACGGCAATGTCGAGATTCAAATGGAGGCTGTGAAGAGGGCGGTACACCTCCTCGAAAAGAGAGAAACAGAAATTTTGCGAGAGAGAGAGAGAGAGAGAGAGAGAGAGAATCGCGAATTGGCGTCAAGGACGAGAATAAGAGGAGGACTCACCATTAGGCTAATCAGCCGAGTATGCGGCTCCCTTCTAGCATCGGGTCAAGGGGGTTTCCACTTGCCCTTTCTGCTTCTGTACAGCTTCTCCGTCTCTACCTGCTCTACTCTGATCCCTTTTCTCGGCACGCTTTCTCTCTTCTATCAACTTGGAATCATCGCGAAGATTCTACCATGAGTACGATGGCGTGACCTTGAAGAGGAGTTTCAAAGTAGCATCATCTCTCGGAGAGTTTGACGCGTTCGCTTCCGCAAACTAAACTTATCTCGAGACATGATTTCCATCGCGTCTGTTTCGATGTGCGCGAAATTCTACGAGGTTTCCCTACGCTTCGTCAACATGTTCTCGTATATATTCTTTATCCCTCTTAGAAATGTAAATGTTGTTGATAACGTTTATGCACACGACTACGACGCGGCGGTTCGGGTTCTTTGTCTTGCAAACGAGTCTCTTTGCAGACCGAGACTTTCCCTCCTCGACCGCTCATCCAGACGATCTTTCGTTCTTTTCTTCTTCACTTCCGAGATCTCGAATCACCCACTCGTCTGTTCTCACTCGATTTCTTCCTCTTCTTTTCCTCCGTTTATCCTCTTTTATTTCACATCTCATTTGCTTTGTTCTTCATTTTTACCTGATATATTTCATTCTCTCCTCACCATTCATCTTCTTTCTCTCTCTCTTACCTCTGATATATTTTTAATTAGCTTTGCTTTTCGATCTCTCCGTATTTATTTCAAAACTCCGTGGTAAAGAACGAGGTGGTAGATAGACGAGAGGCAAGGAGGGAGCGGTGATGGAGATGGAGAAGCGGAAGAGGGCGAGATGTAAAGAGGATGAAGATGGCTGCCGACGCGACCGCGTCCCGACGTTTCGTTTCACCGGGGCTTCGCCATTGATCCGCTTAATTTCTCTCTTCTCCCTCCTCTCGTGTCCCCTCTTCCTTCGCTCTTCTCTTCCTTCTTCATCCGCTTCCTCCTCCAGCCTCTCCGATCTCCGTGTGCTCTTCTCTTTTTCCATTCTTTTCCTCTTTTTCGCGAACTCTTTCCGCGCTCTACAGCTTTCGACGATGAACGAAATCGATTCGCTTTCTCATTTTTACAATCTTTCAGAATAATTTAGAATTCCATTCGCGAAAATACTTGCTCTAGTGATTCACAATTAATGATAGCCTTGTATTTTACGAGAAGTAATAATAATTCGGAGGCAACGATCTCCAACAATAATAACGCTCTTTGTTGAACAAGCAGCAGCGACTAATTAAGCAGCTAGACTAATTACGATTTAATTAACGTCGGTGTTGGATAGCATTGATTTGTCTCGAGCAAAATCGATATCGCGAGAGCGCGAAAGGGTGCGATTGCACGCGTCGGTTTTAAGCTAAACAACCGCAACAACACGTACCACCTTGCACCGTCTGCACTTGTACGAGCTTCCTGCTAAGCCCCTTGTCGACGACCCTACTCATTTCTCGTCACTGCCAGCTGCGACGTTTCGGTCGTGTAATTCTTCGCGAGAGGATTGTTCTATTTTTTTTCTACGAGGGTTAGCAATTTTAAGATTTTAATATTATTATAATTTATGGCTTTTTTTCTCGAGGTTTTTATAATAGACGCTTGAAGATATTTTTATGTATTTGTGTGTTTATATTTTTCTTTATATTTTGTAAATTGATAATAATATTTCAGAGTCAGTTAGAATCGACTTGAATCGTAGTGTTTTTTGTTAAAAACTGCACTATGATTGAAACGTTCTTAAAATTATTAAAAGATTTCATGTTTCTTATTTTTTATAATTTTATTTCATTTTCATATTTTATATTTTATTTCTTTTTTATAATTTTATTTTTTACAATCTTATCAACAACGTGATTTTAATTAATTGAATCATTATTTTTTAGAAATTAACAGAGCGAGAGATGATATTATATATGTGTTTATCAAAATCTTCCCTTTTTTAATTTATTAGTAGATAAAATTTAATTTCCGCCTTGATTCTTTCCACGTTGGTTCACCGTTTCCGCTCTCATTCCCACTCGTTCATCCAGTTCTCGAGTCCATGCTACCGGTTTCCGGAAACCGGAAGAATTCACAACGGTAAAGTCTAATAGAGCGAAATAGGCGAGCTCGCGCACGGGATTGGGCAAAGCTACGAGATGTGGTTGGGGAAAAAAGAATTCGCGAGAGTTAAAATCGACTTCTCGGCGAAGGCAGAATAAAGAGTGAAACGAAAACGGGAAGAAGAAGAAGAGAGAAAGAGAACGCGGGATACGGAATATCGGGAGCTCGAGTTGTTCGAGAATAAAAGAGTAATTTTCCGGGTGGTGAGACGCTGATAATGGGGTTGCAGACTGCCGAGTCGACTGGAAAGTGATTAAGCACACATGACGGAACCCGCGGACTCGCCAGGATATTACGAAGCACCCCTTTCCGACCCGCCATCCTCTTCCCTCTTTCGCTCGCGTTTCCTTGGCGCTCCTCTTTTCCTCCATTCCCGCAACTTCCCTTTCTCTCCCTCTCTCTCCCTCTCGCTTTTCCTCTTTCTTCACTTGCTCTCTTTCGTAAATCGTGCTCCCAATTCTCGGTATCCTGTCGAGCATCGCATTAGACTCATAGTGGAGCTTTCCGGTTATATTGGGTGCGTGTTTCGATCCAGCATTCAACGGACTCATCTTCGTCCCCTTTCCGCCGTATCGTTAACCGAGATTAAGCCCGGCCACGCTCGCTCGATTTTAATCCCGTCTGTCCCCGGCCGATTGCTCACTGATAATTCACTGAATACTAGAATTTTTAGACTTTGATCTCGTCTTCATTTTATTTTTTCCCACCATCTCATCATACGACGGTAAATCCTGAGCTTTCTCGTAATGAGAATGGCGAAAATCGAGAGGGGCAAACGAGCGAGAAGCAGATAGCTGTAACTTACGTAACATTTAAATATGGCGCTCGCATAATGTGTAATTTGCTACGATTGTCGTACCTGAAACGACGTAGGTGGATATATATCGTGTTGCACACGGTACATCTACATACAAATTCACGCGCAAGATAAAATATCGGATTATTACTTTTACGTGGGATTAAATTTCATTTCGGTCGCCATTGTTTTCACGGGCTCGAGTGTGCTTCGTTATTCAAATGAGATTAAAAGCCCCGGGCTGAGTGGTAGCCCGGTCTCGTTACAGTCGAGTGGCTAATCGTCGTTATGCGAAGATCGAAAGTAGCTTCATCGTACAAAAAAAAGCTCCAACATCCATGCATTTTGCGCACGCTGTCGCGAGTCGTTTTATTCTTTTCTGCCTGTATTATACAAATAACGCCGGAAAATGAAAATAACGTATTCGTTTTCCAGAGAGGATAACAACTCTAATTTTCTCCATAAGAGATGACGAGAAAGCGAGATAAAAAGATAGAGGAGAGATGCTAACGGTGCTTTTTTTATCCGCTTCATAGTAATTTTTAGCTGAAAACAGACGAAAATTTATACTCGCAGAGACTATCCTCTATATTAAATTGTCTCGCAATTTCGATATAATAGAACTCTTCATTTCGGCCACTTTCACGGGGCGACAAATAGCCAAGAGCGGGCAGGAGGATGATAGTTTAGAACCCCGATTGTTTTCGCCGAGTCTAAGCGCGGTTCGTTATCCGAGCGCAAATTTGTCAGGCTCCCGGAGACGGAAGGCCGATCTCTTTACGGTCGATCGGTCGATAGTCGTTACACAACCAGGGATCGAGAAGTGGCCCTATCCGGGGAAAACCACGCGTTGACCGATTTCAGCGCGCGCGCACGAGGGGTTGGGAGAGGAAGATTGTCACGGGGAATATGCCTCCGGGACATGTTCGCCCGCAAAACGCAAAAAGGAACGGGGTGGGAACGAGCTCTGGAGAGTCCATCCAATCCGTTCGCGTATACTGCATCGAATGACAGTAGAAAAAGAGAATACGGCAACGGCAGAGGGAAGGAAAGAGACGGAGAGAGAGAGAGAGATGTATTGGCCTCGTCAAGCGGTTTCAAGCTTGCCGATACTCCGGGCGCTTCTCGTCGACCCTTATGAAGCCAATTACACTTCGCCTCGCCAAAGGCACCCCACTTACACCCGCGCCCAATGTTCCCCGGGCTCTCTTCTCTCTTGGAGCTGCGATCGGTTCCGTGGCACGTACCAGTTACATTAGATACCGGTATAAAGCGAAATACCTTGTCCGTTATTCAGCCCGCGATAGCCACGTAATTTTAGTTTGTGTTATTTGAGTGATTGTCTTTTTTAACTGTCGCAATCCTCGGTTCGAACTGTGCTTTTGCTAAAATTGTTGGAATCTCCATGTTAGGAGAAACAATTCAGAAAATGATCAAAAATTTTCTAATTATTTATATATTTCATCAATTTATATATTTTATTACTAAGTAATTCCTCGCTAAAAAATTAAATATATAAATTATATATTTTATTCTTGTCTTCAAAACGAGGGATCATCTGGCAATATACCTTAATCGTTTATTTAACAATATTAAAGAAATAAAAGGATTTTCAATAAATTTTTAACTGTCTGCACGTAATTCCGCTAATGTTACGTAGACTTGATCGATCGCAATTATGTAAAAATCGGATTGTTATCGATACCGTTCATGCGTCCGTTCGGAGGGACGTGTATATTGTACGGCGTTAAATTTCATCAACGGCTGTTCTCTGGGTGATGATTCCGATGGCGTATGCATTCCACTTCGTGTCGGTACTAGTTACAGAGGGTGCGGCCGTGCACACTGATCAATGCTTGCTCTCTCTTGCCATGAAAGAGAGAGCCAGAAAGAGACAGATAGTTAGCACGATCTCCGTTGCTTCATATGTTTGTAGTGCAAACTCACGCGATATATTAAACGCATAGTTTCCTTTTCGTTCAATTGCATCGCTTCTTTGATCTCGCCATAATAATATTTACTCTGTATACATTAATGTGCGCGAATAAAAATTCAGGCGCGCTTGTCGGTGTATTGAAAAATGCAAAAATTCTTAATTTTCTATACTAAAATAATGTTAATAAATTATATCTATAATTATATATATAATATAAGAGATGTCTATTCTCTGGAAAAATCTAGAAGATCTGAAATTTCTAAGAATTTTTTTTTATCTTGTTAAAGTCAGGAAATTCTCGTAGAATCTTATTATGAGATTCAGGAAATTTTTAAACAGATTCTGTCTTTTTGATCATTTCGCTCTTACATTACATTACATTGAGATAGTAATATTATATTTTTTTGTATATTCAAATTGTCTTTACGATTAACAAATCGATATTATATATATATATATATATATATATATATATATATATATAAATGCTAAAAAGAATATTTTAGATATTTTGTTTACTTTATTTGACAGATATTTATTTTAAAATATTTATTTTAAAATAAAATATAATCATATATGAGGAGATTGTAAATTATTAAAATACATTACAGTTATATTTCTTTGTTTATATTCAATATCGCAGTAAAATATTGAATATGCAGTATTATATAATATTAATATTATACAAGCTTTATTATAATTCTTAATGATAAAAAATGAAAATATCGTGCAAGTGAAAAAAGGGCTTTTATAAGCACTTAAATTTCCTATACTTATTTAAATTTTATATTTGGACTTGATATTTTTATTTTTTCTTCTTTAATTAAGAAATTAAAAAGTACAATACAGAAATTTATTTTATAAAGTTGCATCTGAAAAATTTGTAAGTTTATTTTAAATATTGAATAAAAATACTTGAAAAATCAGGAAATTCTCGAAGAATTTTTTTCCAAAATTTAAGTAGACATCTTGTAATATTAAAAAACAAAAGTTATTTTTGAAATATTTGCATCTATATCAATTTTATTTTACTTTCAAGCAGTTTAATAGAGCAAGAAAAAATTATTCAGCATCTCGATAAAATTATGAGAAATAATTATTCCTTTTTCTTAGGTTTGAAAAAAATATTTTTTTACTAATTATATGATAACTGTTGTTTTTGCATGTAAAAAAATGTAAAATGTAAAACTTTATCGATTAAAAATAATTGAAAAAATATGTTTTTCGCAACGAGATTCGCATGCGCTGCACAAATCACGGAAACGTGTGTGTATAACGTTCGTTTATGTCGTCCGGCTTTTTTTGATTTCGCAATCTCGCCGCGATTAAATTGAACGTCATCACTTAGTGACCGTAAAATTGGTCACGCCGCCGGCTAATGAAAGATTAAATGCGTTATGGCATCGTTCATCGCGGGTGCGAGATGCGGCCGGTTTATTCTACATCCCGGTGCATTAATTCGCGCGAGTTTCGGTTATCAACGACTGAAATAACGTTCGTAAGAACGAAAATGACGAGAAGACACTTGACACGAAAAAGACTAATATAAGCGCTAAAATATAAGCTAAAAATAAAAATTTCATGATTAATATAAAAGTCCAAATATATACAAATGTAGATTAGAAATTTGCATACGATTGAAAGAAGCGGAAGAAAGAGCTTTATCGATCATTTGATTGAACCAAAAATAATTTCTTGTTGCAGGTCTCACGAGGGCACCGATGTACCCTTTCTCGACGGGCCAGTATCCATATCCCATGCTTAGTCCAGAAATGACGCAAGTCGCTTCTTGGTAAGTTGACGCTTATTCAGAATTCATTCGCATATCTCGGGATTTTACACTACAAAGTATCTTCATTCGTCCTCTTTCGAATACTATTCGCGAAATCTATATAAAAATATATAATTTATAATTTTCAACGAGGAAGCTCCAATTTTAATTTAACTTTAATATAATTACATTTATGCTATTTTGCGATTGGATGCGTATAACAAAATATTACGTAATATTATTACAATTTTAATTACAGACACGTATATATATATATATATTCGACCGAATGTACGCGATGGGATCAGAGCGATATTCAATTTCGCGAGATAAACGCGCGCGCGCGCGCGTGGCATCCACAGAACAAGAATCATTTTACACACATTCCCGGATATATACGCGTTATATCATATTTTATATTAATTACACGCGTTAAATAATCGATTCGTGCTTTGCAGTAAACGCAAATGAGAAGTAATGGAAAGCATCGGATTTCGATCACATCGCCGATGCGGTCCTTGGCGATGTTAAAATTATCCGAGCACTCGACAATCGTAAATTGTGCATCGCGAATTACGTACAAAGATCGCTAAATATTCATAAAAGTATCAGAAAAAATACACGGGGGAGGAGACGTCACGCGGCCGGTTCTTTGCCTTGATAAATTTTTCCCTTTGGGGAGAGAATTCTCTTTTAACGTAAAGTGTGCGCATTTACATGATAAACGTCGCCAGTGGATTTCTCCGGTTCTAGCTATGCTGTTCTCGTTAATTCCCTCTCTCGTTACTAACGAGTATCCGGAGCACGCCTAAAAGCGACCTTTCGTTTAACGGCTACCGTTCTATTATCGCTAATCTTTCGGACCCTCGTAATAAAACGCACAGATAATTGCGACGCGCTCTCGCATTCACGTTCAGTTTTCCGTAGAAAATCTCGACATATCGTCGCACGAATCTATAGAGGTGGCTTTGGAGACGGTCATCCTCTCAGTTCCGGTCTATTAGATCCGGTACGGAACCTCTCGGATACGGAATCTCGTCGTCCTTGCCTCATCTCGTAGATGTCACCCTCTTTTCGCTTTAAGAGACAGGTCCTCACGATCAGGTTTACGCTCGTAGTCTCCGCGCGTGCGGTTTCCCCTGCTCGTTATTTGCTTTCTGCTCGACTCGCTCCAAATTGCGATTTTCCACGGATGATTAGGCTCTCTTCTTCTCAATTAGAAAGGACTTACGGTGGTCCTCGCTGGCTCGAGACGGGCAGCTTGCGCATCAAGAAATATCGACAATATCGCGCACGGAATTTCGTTCTCGTGGTTTTCACTACGAGTGGCTTGAAAGGAAGAAGGGAATGAAGGGGAGAGGGGGGAAGGAAGGGGATGAAACACGAGAGAGGACCACTTGCGATAATGAGAAGGTCGACGGCGTTTTTATTATTACGCAAAGTGCAGAGTCTGCGTTCTGTGTTCTTGACAATAAGAGCGCGAGCAGCGCGTTCGCGAAGAGGCACGTACTAATTACTGTTACGAGTCGGTGGCCCGCGGTGTTAATGATAATTAATTAAATGTGTCGACATTGCATGCAAATATTGCAACGTTCCTGCTCGACGAATCACTCGTGATGTCGTATCACGATCAATATTTTTAGTTTGATCATTTAATCATTCAATATAACTTGAGTCAACTCGAGTGATAATTAAAAATAATTATATTTATTTGTGTGTTTTCTCTGTCTTTTTGTTGAATTTATTTAATTCTTTTTCTTATTAAAAACATAACGCGATATAAGGGCTTTTATCGAGGCAGATTAAACTTATGTAGTTTTGTAGATCGCAATCCTCGTATGATTCTTGTATAAATTTTTCCATGGATATGGAAAACGAAAATATTTGTCGCTATGAAACGAACGGATTAATTTGCGAGAAAGTTTCTTTACCTGGCTTCGAGTGTATCTCAAAAAAATAATACGCGGGAAAATGTCTCTCGCACGTATGATAATGATGACGACATACAATGATGAATATTTACAGGCACACACCGAGCATGTACCCCATCTCGCCGGCGAATGCCGGCTTCCGGAGTCCATATCCCACGAGTTTACCCATCACGAGTTCCAGTTTACCAAGGTTAGTAAATGCCTCGTATGACGAGCGAGATAGTGAACGAGCTATTCAATCCGGCGCACGATGAGAAGGATGAGATTTTTCTCAATTTATAGACTCTGTGCTCTTGATCTTTCAGTGATCTCTACCGGTTTTCACCGACGAGCCTCATGCCGCCGCATCCCGGTCTCAGCCCGCACGCACACGCGTTGGCGTCACACGCGTTGGTGTCCTCGGCGCCGAAGGCGGATCACTCTACCCTGGATCACAATCACAGGTTCGTTGTTTTCAGTCTCTCAGTGTCGCTGGCGGCATCTGAACACTCGACAGTAAAACCGGATATCGATTATCACTGTTTGTATGTTTCTAATACTCTCGGTATCATTCTTCCTTCTTATGTCTCCTTCATCTCCTTCATCTGTCACTATTGGTGTTCTTTAAACTGAATCAGTAAAAATGTCATTCATTAAAATTAAATGTCATTGACAAGATTTCGTCAAAGATTAGTGAATTTCGTTAATTTTATTTTTGATTATGACAACAAAGTTTTTCTGCAAAATAATAATAATCATATATTTATACATATATTTAGAATAAAATATATATATATAAGTATTGAAATTTAAAATTATATTTATATAGTACACTTTTTATTTAATTTTAAGAAAAATTACAAGAAATGGGACAAACCGGATTCTCTTGGTCAAAAATTCAGAAATTTCTTTAACACAATATATGGCTATAAATTTATCTCATATGTAATATTAAATAATATAAAATGCATTTTTTAAATATCAATAGAGCCATTACTATCTATTAATTTTTTCATCTCTATATTTCTGAGATGATTATAAGTAATAATTATTTTCCAGTGATAATAGACTGATTCTGTTTAAGAGAAATTCCATTACCCTTCTGTTCAACTCGGCGAACTATTTGCACGAATTGCTCTAAGATAGTGTTTGCGAAAATCCTGAGATGTTTAAAGCAGTGACTTACAAGCAATTCACATTTACATTAATAATCTCTAACGACTGTGTTGATAGTTATAAGTTTCATGTCCCAAAGAAAAGAGAGGAAGATAGACAAAAAGAAAGAGATGAGAAAAAGAACATATCTTTAGAATAAAATTTTCAGAGCAAAACAACATACATAAATTTTTTATATAAAACATTTCATTTTAAAAGCAATTAAAGAAGTTGCTCACGGAAGAATCTTATCTATTGTCGCCGATTATGTGGACATAATGTGAATATGATTTAAAATGCGATTGTCTTATATTCGCATTTTGAACAAAACTCATCATAGGAAAGAATCGTCATCTGCAAATTGATAAAACGAATATTTATAAGGACTTGCATGATGAAAAATTGAGATTTTAAAGGATATATTAAATAGAAAAGTGCAATATCATTTGCATATATCCAATGTTCTATTGCGACAAGTATAATTCTCTTTGGTACAAGAGATACATTGCGTTTGCTGAATAATTAAAAATGTGTAATCGTGTGTTGGAAAAACAAACTAGGAACATATTTAATAATAACTGCGAGACTGCATCGCAATTGTTATCAATCATGAAATGGAATCGTATTTTCAATCAGTAATTTATCCAATCAAGAGAAAGGGATTCTGCCGATCGACAGACCAACGTCCCATCGATGGATAATTGTTCATTATTAATCCAGCATTATCTATTATCGGATGGCATGCAAGGATATTCCTGCTACTCCAGCTGACATTATCTTCCGGATGGCGTCCTGTGAGGCTCTTCCTGACCACCTCACGATCGCATGCCGGTTCAGCTCAACGAATTCTCACCCCCATGAAACGAAAATCGTCCAGCGATCGATAATAACATCCGAATAACATTGACAACTGCAAGATTGGGGTGGTCATGTACCAGCATAGCGCGTCTGCTGATAAGGAAGCGTCGCGCCGGGGGTGAGACACGGATAGTTGCGACGCGACGACCGTAGGGGGTAGCACGTCCCGACCTACCCTCGTGCACTCTTCTCTTCGCCCTTCCCATCGACGTCGTCGGGAGAGCGTATATAACACTTATCGAATGACTCTCTCCGCACAGCGTCTGCGCCTGCTGCCTCGACGCCGCCGCCGTTGCCGCCGCCGTCGCCGCCGCCGACGCCGCCAGTTATGTATTGATCATTACCCTCTTAAACAGATTTCTAATTTACATTAGTACCCGGACGATCGCCCTCCCCGCACCCGCGTGGCGGCACACAAAGGCGCGTGGTCGCGCGCGATACTAGCCGCTCTCTGCTCTCTACATATATACGTCGCGCGCAAGTGCGAGACGTCATGGAAGACCAGCTGACGCGGCGTCCTGGTCCATCGACGTCGCATCCACGAGGCTGCTAGTAGCGGTCGCTCATTTTTCGATTCGCGCGACACGCATTCGTACGTTTATCTCGTCTCAGGGGGTGGGGGGAGGCAACCATTGTATGCCGCATCAGTGACACAAAAAGCTTCCCACGTTCTCTTTGCGGTAAATCGAATACTCTCAATGTTGGTGACTAAATCACGGATGTTGTGTTTCGCGGAGATAAAATTAGACGCGTTGAGGAAATTTTTGTCTAAATTTCATTATCGATCGAATTAGCGCGAGTGCGGGCATCAAAGGTCACTGCCGTTGACCAAACATAGTTGCACGCGTGCCAAGCTTCTACGGGAGGGGAACGCTAGTATCTGGAGGAGGGACAAAATTTCTTCGACGACCGATTCTAAGAAGCTTGTCGGTCCTGCCAGCTCGCCGCATCGTTGGCGAGTGGCAGCAGGACAGCCAGGGTTGACCGGTGGTCGACGGTAGCGCCGCGACAACCCGCTAAAAAAAAAAAAGGAAGGAAGAGTCGCAGCGGCACGCAGGAGAGAAAGGCCACGGAGAATGCGATATTCGCCGCGTCCCCCCACACGCTCCCGGAATTGTAGAGTCGGCGGATGGTAGGGTTGTGTCTCCGAGAGCCATGAATCGCGATGATGCCATCCTCGCGCAACCCCGCACTACCGCCGTCCCCCTTCTTCCTCGCGCAACCTCCCCCCGGCCGCCCCCAGACTCGCCGATAATCAATCGTCGTAACACCGGTCGGTGGTGATTCCGCTGACGCCAGAAACGAGCGCGGCGTTTGAGACACGGAGAAGCGAGGGGAGAAAGAGAAAGAAAGAGACAAACGGAAAGAAATCCGAAAGACGAAGACGCGAAAGGCGAAAGGCATCCGTCGCGGAGAAACGCGAGGAGAGAAAAGCGAGGTGCCAACGCGTCGATAGAGTTTTCGTGCGTGCGTGCAAACGTCAAACGGAGAATCGTGACGGAGAGGGTGCGTTTTCGCGATACGAGCGCGCTATAGTCGTCGGCGTCGGACGGATAGATAGACGGGGGGAGGGGTGTTTGCTGGGTATACAGGGGGGTTTGGGCGGCGGAGGGGAGACGCGGGAGCAAAGGGAGAAACAGAGAGAGGCAGAGAGGGTGGCGTGTAGAGAGAGGCGGAAGGGAAAAAGAGACAGAGGGATATGACGAATGGGTGACCGTGGGATGCCGCCCCTGGAGACATTTCACCGCACGAATCGCCGGGCGACGAAGTCGCATCAACGACTGCCGCTGCTGAAGCGAGACGAGAGAGCGGGCGGGAGCGGGCGGGTGTGTTAATGTAAAACGACAACGACGGTGCGACGAGCGATGACGGTACCGTTGGAAGGCACGTCGGACGACGTGCGGCAGACCCGACTACGGCTATATACATCGCAACGCGGGGTCTTCCGGATACGCGTAGTCACCGCCAGCATCAGCGTCTGATGGACCGCCACGGATGGCGTGTAAGTGTCGCCGTGTGCGCCACCGCCGCGTACGTGCTGTTTACAACTCTGTGACCGGTTTGGAGGCCCGCTTCACGCGCTATAGCGCGACGCGAACACGAGGATGCGAATGAGAGAAGAGCGTCCCGCAACTATTCCTGTCGAGCACCCGATGGCTGGACCAGAACGAGATTACCTACCCGGAAGCGCGATGTTGCCTCTCCTGCATTAACGTTGGAGAGTAACACGAACGAGATGAGGTCAAGGCTCGCCACTAGTGCCGAGTATCTCGGATAGTTTGTTTCGTACTGTGATAATATCTCGTATATATATAGTATAGCACGCGACAGAGCGAGATCGTTTAGGATCGTTCTATGGATCGATTTGGATCATCTCGGCGGTGTGCCCGCGAGTAAACACGAGGCAGCCCCGTATGTGGCGATGGAGCCAGCCGAGTGCCTGGAGCCGCTGAATTTAGTGATCAAAAAGGACGACACTGACGACAGCGAGCCGGTGATCGGGGAGAGGATCGCGGAGGCGACGATCGACGAGGAGAAGGACGCCGTTCTCACGGCCGAGGAGAGCGCGATCGAGGATAACATGGCGATACTCCAGGACGCCGTCAAGTCCGCCGAATCCGGCGGTTTACCAACCGCGGATCACAAGCTCCTGACCGCGCTCTACATGAGCAGCCTCATGCAGATGTCAAGCCTGAGCGCGCCGCGCGGCATCGCGCCGCCGCCAACGTATGGCGCCAGCCAACAGCAGCAACAGCAGCAAAGCTTCGTTCAGCTGCTGGCGATGGTGGAGGCGCGGCACCGCATGTGGCAGCAGATGAACTGGCCGTTGCCGCAGAACTTCCTCAGGAGTCCGCTGACGTTGCCACCGACCGCGCCGCCGTACTTTGACGGCGCGACGACGACGCCGACGCCGGCGCCGACGCCGAACCTGACCGACCAGCTGTCCCAGAACACCGCGCCGACCTACCCCCTGTCCTGCGCGAAACCTGAACCCCTGAATCCCGAGGCCAAACAGTCCTACTTTAACAAACGGTACACGCGATTGGTGTGCGAGGGAGTGTTTATGTAGAAAACGAGCGCGCGCTCGCGAGGCTGTCACGCTGAATATCTTTTTCTTATATGTGTGTTGCAGGTCTACGATAGAACAGAAAAACTCCACGTTACCTACGGACAACGCGAAAGCCCAGGATACGGGTCAGCAGAACAATCAAGGTAAGAATTACGTGATTCACGCGCAGGTAAAAGAGAAGATTGGTTGCGTGACACATGGATAAGTCACGATACGAGTTATTTATTTCAAACTCTCGTCGTTCTCACTTGATCTCTCGACGCTGTGATTTTGACAGATAAAAAGAAACCCCATATAAAAAAGCCTTTGAATGCGTTTATGCTGTACATGAAGGAGATGAGGGCGAAGGTTGTGGCAGAGTGTACCTTAAAGGAGAGCGCCGCGATCAACCAAATATTAGGGAGACGAGTGAGTAAACCTTATGCTTTGATATATTATTTTTTATCAAGTTTTCAAGTAAATTATTCTACATCAGAGTTACTAACGAATCTCAATGTCTCGATGTTTATTCAATGTATCAATTTCATTTACCGAGTGTTATAAATCATCTTTATACAGTGTATATAATCTCTTCAATGTGTGAAAGTGCAGCTTACATCCGATAAGATTAAATTATCGTGCTCTGATGTAAGAATAATTAAGATACGCGAAAGTCAACATTCTCTCATAATAAAGAGACAAGCTTCTGAAAATATTTCCAGTACTATTTTTAAACGATCGTAAGAGATTAATTCGGAGGTAACCTGCTGAAAATAAATTCTGCTTATAATTTAACAATCAGATCTTCGATTTCTTTCACGCGAACTGAATACAATGACTGTATTTTTATCGAGTAACAATACAATTCCGATTCCGTACTATTCGACAGAGAAAGAGAAAATGTTGACCGATCGCTCATTAAAGATCTTCAGATGAATTTTCATTCTAAGTACTGCATGCATCTTAACGCTTTTATCGAACAAATAGTTTACCGGGCTACCAATCGGAGCTAACTAACCGTACCTACGTAGTATCTCAGTACGAATAGAGCATTGTAGGTGGGATCTAAGGAAATCTCGGATTCGCCTTGATAGAAAAAAAAAAAAAAAATGCTGACACGAAAAGGGAAGGGCCGATGGGTGGTTTTTCGCGATGGGTCTCTTGGCGATGATAGACGTGTCTACTCGTAGACATCGCTAATGGTAAATAAGTTCGTGCGAGAGGAAGGGACAGAGATAGAGAGAAAGAGAGAGAGGGAGAGGGAGGGAGAGAGATAAACGGGGACGGTGCACGAGACTGTGAATCTGAATTTTGGGGGTATGACACGCAGTGGCACTCGCTAAGCCGGGAGGAACAGGCGCGGTATTATGAGGCGGCCAGGCAGGAACGCCATCTGCACCAGCAACGATATCCCGGCTGGAGTGCCAGGGATAACTACGGATATGGCAGCAAGAAGAAGAAGAGGAAGAAAGAGCGCTCCGCAGATCCCACCGGAGGTACCACTTTCCAGTGCTAGAACAGCAGGCCCTATAATAATTCATTATATAATAATTGCTAGTATATACCTATACTGGTTGATTGAAACGATCAAAGTCTCTGTGCGTTTCTTTTTTTTCGTTTTTTATATACATTTTTTTTATTTCTTATGGTTTTCTGGCATTCACTCTTTTTCGTGCAGAATATATATATATATATATATATATATATATATATATATATATGTTTCTTTTGGATATTTTATATATATGTACATATATGCATATATGTATATTTTTTCGTTTTTCGAAACTGAATTGGATTGGATTGTCTGTGGGGATTGTGGAATGTGGCGCAGCAGAGAATTGAAAAGGAAAAAGAAAACGGAAAAGTTAAAAAAAAAAAATAAAAAAAAATATAAGAAACGAAAAGCTAAAAAGACACGGTGGAAAAATCAAACGCGGACTCTCGCGCGGCATGCGATCGCAATTTCTCTTTTTTTTATCTGGCCAAACTCCCTAAAGCGGTATTCGTTCTCTCCGGGTGAGCAAGAAGAAATGTGACGGGACGAGTTAACGTCACTGATGTTGCGATAACGAGAGCGAGAGTGAAAACCAAAGCCTTTAGGTACGGGATGTCTGGTAGAGCCCGGGGCCTGTCCCGCTTTTTCTTCTCTTTTTTTTCCGTTTCTCGCCGCGGGATGACATCTGCTCGCAATCGCTTACCTCCCAAGACGAATCGCGCTCGCGGCGATTTAATGAGAAAAACTGTCCACCGACAATGTGTGTCTCGCTTCCTTCGAAATTCATCCCTCTCCCTCCTCCCCTTCTTCCGTTCCTATTAACATCCAACTAACGTACTTTGAAATGAGCGTTCCTTTCGGGAAGTGATAGCTTCTCGTGACCAAGTCTCGCTACACTCCTTTGCAGTCTCAGTGGCGTGACTCGTGTGGAGAGGAACTGGGGCAGGTGGCGAACGGAAATACACTGGAGGAACGTTTTGCGCTTTTTTTGTTCGATAGCGCCGAAAGGATCGAAGGACGAAATATAATTGACCTATCCAGCATTAATAATGGACAAAAGATTGCCTGGCACTTATATAATTCTCAGTCTTCCAATTGCACACTTTAATAAATAAATATGGAATTAATGATACGATAAGTAAGATTGAATTTGTTTGCGTCCAAATTAGATTAATACATTATTAATGTTTGTGTCTTAAGGATTATATGTATATATCTTTCAGTGATCGCGAGAGAGTGTACACCAGCTGCGCACGGCGTCCTTAAGGAGCGTGTTTTCTTCAGTGTATAGCCGTGCCGACACTACCCTTTTCATTCTTTCACGCGTGCTACAGTAAAATTTTCCAACCGCTAGCGTGTTCTCTATCAGACACCCTGTATACTTTAGGTTGTTAATTATCGACGAATAGCGGTGTGACCGAGGGGGAGGGGACAACCTTAGGCTGTTCTTCTAGCACTTTAAACGGAAAGTAGGGACCCCAGTGTTACTGAAATGCTATGAGGCAACGATTGCTAAAATAATAATAATAATAATAATAATAAAAAGAGATAGATAAAGAGTAAAATGAAATATTTCGAAATAGAGCGAGCTAACTCCGACTCTCTTGAGGCAACATTTTTTCACGCAATTAGGGTGGCGGCAGTAGCATTAGTGAATTTTTTTCTTTCCTTGATTAAAAATATTGTTTAGCCGTACACACCACGGTTCATGCACAATTACAAAAAAGTGTTTGGTTCTCTCTCGGTAGTGGCACGCGCTAGGGCGAGAGGAACAGGCCAAGTATTATGAGTTGGCGCGACGGGAGAGACAGTTGCACATGCAGCTGTACCCTGACTGGTCTTCCCGCGCAAATACCAACCGAACTAAGAAGAGGAAGCGCAAACAAGACACAAACAGTGATCCTGGAGGTACCCACATGCCTCACATCCACACATTCTTACGATCTTTCCCCCCCCCCCTCAGTCATAAAAGGAAAGAAAGCCCCCTGCCCCGTCCACTCCCCCGTTCATTATTACATATACTGTTATATTATACATTCTTATATTGCTACACTACATTATGTTGCATGTTTCCCCCCGTCTTAGGGGTTTTGGGTCGATATATTTTATTATATATATATTATATATGATTATATATAACTATATTATATTATATTATACATACACACGCACACATATACATATACACGCATATACGTTAATATATCTATATATCAATGTGACTATTTTATATATATATATATATGATTTTTTATACAAATCGCGAAAGTACGTGCGTGCCTATGTATTTGCATTATACACCGGGAACACCTGACATTACGCACAAACACACATCAGAGACAGACACAACGCATCTTATTATTAATTACGTATACAACTTTGGGGACGCTGGCCATCTTGCATTTTTACAGGGACCTACTCCGCAATCAGACAATCCTGAGCGTTTAATTTTCTCTTAGCCTTTTCGTCTTTTTCTATGTCTTTCTATTATCTTTTTCTTTATCTTACTTTCCCTCTGTCTCGTTCTTTATCGCTGAAATTTTATTTTTTTACGAATACTTATCTTGTACATTTTCATTATTTCTTTCTATTTCCTGTACATCTTTTGTCTCTATTTCTTTCTCTATCTTCTCTCTCTCTCTCTCTCTCTCTCTCTCTCTCTCTCTTGTTATTTTCTCTCACTATCACTCTATCATTCCTATACTTCGTCTCTCGATTCGTACGTTTATTTTTCTTTGATCGTTTCAATATTGCCTGGATCCTTTGATTTTTATTCTAATTTTATTATTTTCGTTTTCTATCGTCACTCAGTAACTTTCGTTTAATCGAATCACTCAGTTTATTCTCGACTCCCACATACGAAATTTTCGTTCACTAGCGCTCGCGCGATAGAGCGCTCACATTCATAATTGATATATATATATATTTTTTTTTGTTAGATATATTTCGGAGGCTTACGTTTATATAATACAAATCACGACATTTCAAACGAGTAGATCTTTGATCGTGTTTTTTAAGCCGTTTTAACGTTAACGTTGCATGTCATTATTCGTTTAATGAAGATACGAGTTGTTCATTTTGAAAAACTTAATCGTAAATTTAATCTCTTTAAAAAAATTGAAAAGTCATGTTTACATCAACATCTTTTGTTGTGAGTGAATTGGAAGCGTCTTAAAAATTGGATTTGTACTACGCTTTCAAAATAGACGGTTCGTATCTTTATCAATATTATATATATTGATATATGTGTGTGTGTATGGAGCCTTCTCTGAAGACTATCAGACAGTCTCGCTATCAAATTATTTGAAATAGAATTTTATACAGCTGTATTTGCTGTAATTCTTCTACTTATTTAGACTTTTTAAACTATTTTCGTACAGATTCTATTTTCTATAACATGTTACATTCGATATTACATGTATCGTCTTCGGCGAAGGTCCTATAATATATATATATAATCATCGAAAACCCTTTGAGGTCGAGGCTAAATAAAATAAATCTGTTTTATTGTTTTTAAATTGTGTGGAATAAAATTTTTTCGTAAAAACATTTTTAAGCAATCTATTGAATTATTTGTTCAATCTCGAAAAAGTCGTCTTTATAAGTCGATAATCGATATACGTCCGAATCTCAAGGGGTTGTAATCACCGTTCTGTTACACGCATGACTTAGTTGACATTCGTTAAGTTTTGACATTCACCGAAGCATAAGTATATTAAACGCAGAAATTCGAGCACCAATTCATTCCATACTGCGGTAGATTATATTCATTATCGCATTTGATTATATATGACAATTTCGCACAGTTTGTCGACATATTCATATATATAATCATTTGTTATTTCTTTTTTTCTCACGTAATTACTTCAAATTGATTTTTTCACACAACGGGAACGTCAATGTCAATAACTACGTCATTCTTTTGACAGAATGTAGCATACATCGAATAGTAAAATCCCTCGCTCGTTCGGATAATCTATGATTAATCATACTAATCGTTACTCTATTCCTTTTCTAGGCAATAACATGAAGAAATGTCGCGCCAGGTATGGATTAGATCAGCAGAGCCAGTGGTGCAAACCCTGCAGGTACGTGTGCAGTGATTTCTCTTGATACACGCGCTTCAACGACGAGACTTATCTGTCCGTCGAATTTTACGCGATTACGACTTTCGCGACTCGTGTAAATACGTGTTAAATCTTATGCAAGTCCGTCTGGATCTAGCATTGTCACAGTCATCGACTACTTTTTTGTCTTCACCTCGCTTAAGATCGAAGTAGAGGATGCGATACTCGCGAAACAAACCTGGGAAAAACATTATATCGAGTTCGTTCGCGGATAACATCAATTGCTCCAGCTAATAAGTCGAATATTTTACGACAGAATACTTTACTTACAAAGCGCACTTTGATGCTTCAAAAGTATCAGACTGAAAGTTTTTGCCAATGAGTTTGCTTTTTCGAATTTGAATGCGTATACAAGATTTTCTTCAAGATTGCTCGCAACGATACCGATCACAATTACATAGTATTCTTGACGTTCGCCATCTCGTGTCGGTCTCGGACCTCGTCCCCGTCATCCACATGTTACCGTGGAACTTGAAAGAGAGGAGACGCAACCAAACGTTATATCTTTGTATAAAATATCGACGTGGTAGCAGAGTCTCCTCGTGTCAAAGGCGACTCGCGTTCGCGGTGATACCTGAGGTATTTGTAGAGAAACGAACGAGAAAAGAAAGAAGGAGAAATAAGAGCGCAGCGAGACTACGCGCTGTCAGAAAATGTGTCTTCCAAAAAAAAAGATAGAGAGAAAATCAAGGGGATCAAAGCACGACTAGTTATCTTCCCCAGTTATGCGAGACGCATCGTCCAACTGGCCTGTAAATATCGGTTTTCTTTAATTAGCACTACTCTCGTAGTTTGTTCGCGACTTTTTATCCACGAGTCACACCCATTTCTTTAGAGCCGAATCACTAATATGTCCTTAATATCGTCACGGCCATAGCCCAAACGCCCCAACTCCCGGCTGGGTTTGTGAATCTCATGGACGTCATTAAAGGGGCGAGGATAATTTCCGTCGACGATCCCGTTCACGATCCTTGCACGATGAGAGAAAAGAGACAATCTCTTTTTCAAGACAGAGAGCGATCACCAGATTAAGCGTTATTCGGGTGGGAAGTGTAGCTTTTGACATGCTCTTGATCGCTTTGTCAGTCTCTCATCATCGCGCATGCATGTGGGAATGAATTTAGAAACATGTAAAATTTTCGTGTCGTGAAGCGTGTAAAATTTATACTGTGCGATTGTTCTCTGGCTTATTAGTTCCGCCAGGATCAAAGTTAAAATAAAAGATGATCCTCACTGGAATACCGGAAGCACCTAGTTTGTTGCATTTGGATTTAGCTGATTGCACTCTGCATTGAATGCACGTAACTTACAATGCCGCCTGTATCAGTTGTCGTTGTTCCTTCGTCATTGGACGCGTTATCGCGCAGATACCGGAGGATTGTGTGACGCGTGATAGATAGAGTAATCGCTATCTTAGCGCTATCGAGGTCCCAAAATAAAATTCGAATCATCGCGTTGATACGAATATTTGGGAGACATATTTTCTGATCGATGCAACAGTCGTCGTCACTATATCTTTTGCCGTCTCTCTTCGTTCCACACTTATTAAAGTTTCAAGTTCGTTTGAACGGGGCCGGCAACACTTTGCAAGCTCCACATGACGTTTAAATTATCACTAATATCAAAAGTTCTATTTTATTTTACAATGATCAAAAATAAAATATCCTAGAAAACATTATTTCATTTTAAAATAAAAAAAAATTGCGTATGTGTATAATATATCCTGGTGTGATTGCCGGCTTCGTTCTTTCACATATCGCGGGGAACGAAAAATTAAAAGAGCGATAACACATCCGGTTCGGTTCCTCCCCCTTCCCCGACACAGACACGTGCGTGTGGGTGACGACACGATGCGAGATTGAGGTGGAATATTAAGTCGACGATATGTCTTAGCAAGAGTGCGCCCCTTTAATGGCTGGTGGTTGGTTTTGGCAGCCCAGTGGAGCATGGAGCGGGGATGGGCATCCACGCGAGCATAATCCATCACGGTGTGGGAAGTAGCGCGGGGGCAGGGGTCGGGGCTGGAGGCGGTGGGGGGACGGTGGGGACAGCCGCCGCTCCGCCAAACACCAACACTGCCTCCAATGCCTCCTCGCCTCAGCAAGAACCCACTTATGTTAATCTCTAGTCAAGCCTATCGCCTCCCTTCTACTGCAACACTTCTTCTTAAACAGTGGTCAGTCCCGACTTTGAAAACCTACGGGCCCCCATCGGTCCTCGCTATGGTCCCGGCCATGCCGCTCGAGAGAGATATATAAGATATTTCGCTGTATCCCGTGCGGGTACCAAGGTTTTTTTTCTGATATCCGAACGGAGACGTGGGAGACATCATGGTGAAAAGTTACGAGCGAAGGCACCATAGCGAAGGGCACGACGGTGGCCCGTGTGATGCTCGCATTGTTTCTCATTGTTGTGGCTCTTTACAGCTTATTATTGTTATTTATTTATCCTCTCGTTTAGTTGGAATTTATTCAGTGTTGCCCTTAGCATGGCTGGTCTGTATAATATATACATATTATAAATTATATACATATATATATCTATTTATATATACACACATATATGTATAACAATTATTTGCTCAGATTTCGAAACGTTGTTTAATATATTATATATAGAAGGTTTTTATACATTTTAATTTTTTAGCATGGCAGAGTTCGTACGATTAAGATCGGATGATTGTGTTGTACAGATGTGTTCTTTTTTTTTCTTTTTTTTGTTTTTTACTTTTAATATCTAATCATTTTTTTTCTTTTGTAATATTTTCATACGGATAATGTGTTTTTTATACATATATATAATGCGAATAACCACTCGAGGTACTTTAAAAAAGAACTGCGCTGGCTGACTGCGTAAAAAATCGTATTTTTTTAATCGAAATTTTGCACAATTTCGTATGTTACTCAAAGTCTCAGAATGGATTGCAAAGAACTACATTGTGCTTTTAATAATTATTTTCATCTCTGTACACAAATATTGTTAACTACTAAAAAAAGAAAAAAGGAAGGATATTTTATCTCTTTAAAACTGTGATATAATTTGTGATAAAATTAAAATTAAAAAAAAATATACACAATTTCTTTTTGCGTAAAATAACAATTATTTTTAACTATTCAGTAAAATTCGTCTAAGAAAGAGATATTGCAATCCATCCTGAGATTTTCGAATGCCGTCCGTTGTCGCGCACTGAAAGGAATAGTTCTTTTATAAGTTTTGTGCAACGCTTTGAAATTTACACAAGTGTAACTGCGAGTTTAATTAGCATCCTCCGATCGTTCTCGGTGGTACGGCCGCCGAGAAATTAACTGATTCAGCTGAGAGATAAATAATGAGAGCCAATGGCAGAGCGGCAATATGTCGTCTCGACTGCGAAGCAGTTCTCTAGACGAGGTCGGACGGGCTCACTTATGAAAATTGTGCAGTAGCAAAACAAGCCTCTCTCTTCCTCTCGTCATCTCGGATTCTACTACTTTATCGCTGCCCACCTTTGTGTTCACGCGACTGTGAGAAAAAAAGAACTTTTCTTTGAACGCACTTTACAATTGGTCGCGATAATATTCCAAGTTCCACGTAACATTAGCCGGCTTTAGCGCGACTCGTTAATAAAAATTGCCTGACTTAAATCGATAAATCGACACGCCGCGTTTGAAGAAAGGAGGAATCGCGCAAAAATTCTTATCGAATCCTTGATTTGCGGGTGATCAATGATTCAATAGATGCCCCCCCCCTCCCGATGGCATTTTGATTGAGTTTTATTATTTCGTTTACACGTTGTATCTTACACATTTTGCTTGTTACATCTACAGATCTCTTGAGCATGGCATTTGCGAGCGAGTGATCAATGTCGAGCAATTCAAGCATCGCCAGGCGCACAAAGATCGTCGTTTACTCTACTAAAGATCTAACAAAGAGATTTACTAAACTTCAAAAGCAAATTTGTGTGTCTGACTTTGCAGTGATGACATGAGTGATGGCATGTTTTTTTTTTTAGTTTGTAACATTTCTAGATGTATAACATATTTTTTCACGGACGTATTTCCAACAGTGAGAATTTTCTATTCAATATTAAGCATGTTGAAAGTCAAAATTAATTTAAAAATTGTTTAATATTATTACCTATCATATCAGAAATTCTTGATAACTTTTCGTAAAAAAATATCGTTTTTAATCTTGTTTCACAAAGCCATGAAATGTGAATAAAAAAGTGCAGCATATATTTTTGCGTGTCTAATTGTAAGTAAATGATCTCACAGATGGAAATCAATCGTCTGAATATTATTGACGTCATTAGCCACTTGCACGAGCGTGCACTAATCGATTTTCCGATCGTTATTTGCAGACGTAAGAAGAAATGTATCAGGTACCTTGGGGAGGGAGGAGACGGCGACGGTGAAGCCGACGGCGAGGCCGAGGACGATCATTCGGAGGATAATCTGGGCAGCGTAGGTGAGGCGGGAACTCCTGAGGACGATGAGTCCCTTAGCAGTCCCGGAGGCCTGTCCGCATTGTCTAGTCTGGCGAGTCCTTCGCTGGTCTTACCATCGCCCTCGAGTCTGTCCAGTCCGTGTCCGTGTCCGTTGACACCTCCGGTGCCTCCGCCGCCCTTGTCGAACACGAGTCAAACGTCACACAATCAACCGACGACAACGACGGCGGCAGCAGCGATGGCTGGAGCGGCGGTGACGACAGCGGCGACGCAACAACCAGCTCCGCAACCCCATCGCAACCCCGTCGGCACGAATCCTCATGACATCAATAATCCGCTCAGCGTGAACCAGCTGACCGGACAGTGTATAGTAAAGACCGAGCCCGCGCCCTCGGGCCCCTCCAATCCGGCGATCAGCGTCACGTAGCCCCGGCCGGACCCACATGACCGAACTGTTGCTACATGCGGTGTCATCTACGGGGTCCGTCTACGTGTGCGCGCGATGAGAAAGCCAGATGACGAGGTGATGAGAGATTGGCGAATGAGAGAAACTTTTTCATCATCACGGAAAGATTTTCACTTTTGTTTCAAAAAGGAGGTTTTCGTTTTTTCGCCGATCTGATCAGGAGGGACCAGAGTTTTAGTATTTTCGAAAAACGAAGATAGTCCGAGGGATCGCTCATGTTGATCGTGCTTCACTTATGGGAATCGCACATGGGCTGCACGCTTTAAGCAGCATCATTAATGATTCAGATTCTGGCACGAGAAATCGTCGATCGTCGCTTCGTCATTGCGAATGATGGTGTTGCCTTCGATTGTTTTCTCCTGACATAGCCTCGCTCTTATGCATTCGCCGAAGTACAGGTCATCCAGTGTCCCATATACACACAAAGTCGAAAATAAGACATTATATACATGTGTAACAAATGAATAAAAACAAATACGATACAGAAATACTCAGGACCAAGTATTTGGCTGTAGTCACCCGCTCGGTAAAGAGAAAAAGGTGTAAGCGAGATGTATAAGCATGAGAGAATATGTATGCGTGTGTGCGTACGAAATTAGGAAAGAGCAAAAGGTGCACGTCCAGTTAAATAATGTGACTGAAAGAACGGACTCGTTGGAGGTGCACGTGACGCAGCTTGTAGTCCTTGTTACGTTGTGATGCCAATGACTGAAAAGTCATGTTCCTGTGCCAGCTACTATACTCTAGGAAAGTAATTATATTACGAACAAGTAGCTAAGAGCGTAAGGTGGAAGAGAGAACCGAGAAAAAAAACAGAACGGAAATCGCGTGCGCGATGCGTTTTATTGTCATTTGTTTATTCGACCTCATCTCTCATATATAGGTGTCGAAATACCTATCCTCTATGTATATGTAATTTGTTATTTTTTTAAAAGTCTATACACAGTGCGGTTGATTAGCATGTAAGATATCCTTAATAATCCCTGCTCACTTTCTACCCGAATACTTTTTCCTCGAATACCTCTCTCTTCTATAAACACATGTTCTTTTTTCTTTATCATAATATTCCATATTTAGAAATAATGTAATACAATTGGCATGATTTTATATTATAAATCTTTGTTTTTGCGAAATATAATAATGCTATTATTTATACGTATTAACGTTAATACGTATAAAATAAAGCATAATACGTATAAAATAAAGCATTATGTCTCTAATATTGCTTATTACTACTATTATTGACTTAATATCGCTTGAGATTTTTTTATCCTTAGATTCTCTCGTGATTTTAATCGTCAATCGATAAATTTGTGCAACAAACTTTCGACTGAACAAAGACAATAACCGCGATAAATAAAAAAAATATATAAGAAAAGAAAGAAAATAAAAAGACCGAGAAATGTGAATACAAGTTTTTGTACAAAAATCGATACGATTTCATTGAATCGTTTGCGATTAGTGTTCAAAAATAATGTATTGTGTAATGTATGTGTTTTTTCCTACGGTTATTTCGGTAATTTTCATTTGTTTCTTCTTTATATATGTATTTTTTTTCTAGGAAAATAATTTCTCATCCTTTCCTTATCTCACTTTTATGTGCTGACACGACACATAATAATGGCATGTAAGATTTTAATGGCTCCGACTTGAAGACTAACTCAACTCAAGTAATTTGCGCGTCAAAGAAATATATATTTCTTTTAAATTGTTTTAGGATGAAAATTTCTATTATCGAAACAATCACACGCATCTCTCGGCTTATTAGATTTAAAAAAGAATGTAGAAAATTTGAAAAGATAATTATATTCTTCCTGTAAAAGAGACTTTAGATTTTATTCGAATATTCTTTTTATTTTTTCTTTCTTGCCTTTATTTCATATTTTGCGAATGTTAACATAATGCGCATTTTTATCGTTACGCGCAAAATAATGTTTATTTTTTTATTGGCAATTTTTTAATGTATATTTTATTATATATCTTGTTTATCGCGATATAAAAATATAAATGTGAATGAAACGATTTCTAACAATGGATGGTAAGACAAATATCTCAAGATGCGAGTTATTGTTCGAAAAAAATTCTAACATGGCAGCGTTTCGAATGAAACAGAGATTGTTAATTGTGCGATAAAAGATTCTCTACTTTACTTTTGCCTAAAATTGCAACTTTTTGCTAATTTAAAAAATTTTTTTTATAGATGTAATATTTAATAGATAAATTTAATATTTTATATCTAAAGTTGTAAATTCGTTATTTCATTTTATGTAGTCAGAAAGCAATAGAAAGCCTCTTTAAATATTTTTGCGATAATATTTTCAAGAATCTTGAATCGCACAATTTCAGAGAGATGTCAAGTATGTATAATCACGACATATATATACATTATTAGAAATTTGGTTCTGTCTCATTGTGCGACATATTTCGGTGCAATTTTAATCTTCTTTTTATTATATTACCGGTCAAAAGAGGAAAAGCGCAGCATAATAAGCCCATCACAATTGTTCTGCGAGCATTTATTTCAGGAGGAGCGCAGTTTCTCTTTTGTACATAAAAAAAGAATATGTTTTATAAGGTGCATTTGTTGCGACGCATGGGAAAGTGCAATGGAGGTGCCAATGAGAGAGAAAGAGATAGATAGAGAGTGTATCGAGATCGTGCGCATTTGCGCACCATGAAACGAAAGCGTTGACGTTACACGCGAGTGTGTGCGAACGTCGGGATGAAAATGTTTTCTTTTTCCTCTCTTCTTTCCCTTCCGCAATGTGTTCTTTTTTTCTCTTCTTTTCTTTTTTTCCGACTGAATCGCACGGTGTACGTCCGTGCATGACGAAGACCGCGACTGTAGAAACGTGTCGCTGAGTATAGCAGCAAAACTTAAACGTGCCATAACAACATTATGCCAATATTAATGATAATACGCATATCGTTTCTCTTTTTTTTTTTACATTACGATCCATTCGATCTTGTTCTGTCAGTCGTGAACCCGTCAGATGCGAATACGTCCTTCCTTCCCCCCGTTTTTTTCGTTCGCCTTAACTTTACCCATTCTTCCTCATTTTTTTTTCACTTTCTTCGTTTGTCGATCGAACTCGTTATAGACTGAAAGGCATTTAATACGAATCTTCTTGCAAACGAAACGCAAGTCTCATCTTGATCTCCCTCGAACGTTATCGAATAGAAAACGAAGCGAGAAAACTGATTTACATATAATACACGAAGCTAGAACTTAACGAAAAAATTACGTGGATTCTCATGAATACAAGTATGTTCGATCGAGGAACCGAAGTATCTATATTACCTATTTACCTTCCTATCTACCTGTCTATCTAAACAAGTACGGGGCAAGGACGACCAGCGACGTCTTACGAGAGACGAATAGGTGAAAAAGGAAACGACGGAGACCTATCACTATTGGTTGTACTGACAGACGTAGCCACTACTACGAGAAAACAAGACTCGCAAAATCGTGCGATGATTGAATATTGTATGCGTGCTTGTATGCAACGGTGAGGAGGGTGACGCGAGCAGTCTCCTCGACGGACAACCCTGGGAAGTGAAGATTCGCGAAACTTCTCGAGAAAAAAATATGTCCGCTTGCGTCTCACCTGCCTCCCATTTCACTTTGCTAGAAACGAGACAACGTCGTGTAGGCTTCGGCAGCGAATTGCTCAGAGACGCGAAAGCATCTTCGTGTTTTCGAGGATGCGTATTAGGGAGATGGAGAGAGACGGATCTCCGAGACGCAGAGTAAATAATCCTCGGCGGGCAAGCTCGCTCGATACGGCCTACAGTTCGTTCGAGAGGAGATAATATCGAGATTCGCTCGCAAAGTCCGTAAGGAGACGACACTCCTTTTTCACGGTGACAGTGACGAGAGGAGGACCAAGGTCCGCTCGAGCCGACCTGTCCCAATTCGGTGCTCGTGTCTCGCTTCAGAGGAGTGGTTGTACTATATTGTAAAGTATCAATCGACAGTTCTCAACTGCGTTGTACAGTGTTTTCTAAGTATTTAGGTTGATAGCGTGTAATTGAGAAGAAAAAGGAACATTGTATTTACACTAATAAGTGATCTGTATCAAATTCATTCTCGTATAGCCTGTACTCCTACTCATGTAGATGCTAAAAGTGATTTGTGTCATAAAGAAAACCTATAAATAAAATTAGCACTTTGAGAACGTTGTTCGACCGCGTGTACGAGTTCTTTCCCCCTTTTCCATTCATTCGATTATAGAAAGATTCGAAGAGATTTTATTTTAAGATCATAATATTCTTTCAGAAAATTTCGCGGATTAACGATTCTTGCCTTATTATTATACGGAAAAACCTGGCAAGAAAATGTATTACTGGTCGCACTTGAGAGGACAAACGTCCCGTGCATCTGAGAAGAAATGCAAATTCAACACATTGACCGCATTTAGAGTATATACATTTGGTCGTTTAAGATTGCAGTTGGCCACAAAGATGCCGGCTATTTTCGCGACACTGTTACATTTAAATACACAGGCAGCCCCATCATAAGCCGGTCTGCCTTGATCGTTTCTCGCACACGGATCGAACATGTAAAATTTACCATAGTGCTGCATCACGGCTACCGCTAAATTGGTCGTGTGCAGTATCCCGGCGCAATTTGTACGGAAAAACATGGCAAGTGCTTCAGACAGGTCGAAGGCATGGAGTATCCCCGCAACGGTGTGATTATGAACGTGGATGGTAGCCCGGATATCGCCCACGATGAATACTGTGAGCAGCTCGCTGGGTGAAAGGTTCCTGACGTTTGCCCGAGCACAACGTGCGCTATCCAAGTACAACGAATCGCCGTATCTAAGCACGGCGTCGATAAGCTGGGGCGTCCACGTGGATGGCACGTGTAACAATCCGATGACGATAGCGACTGCCGCGATCGCTGTGCTTTGGTGACCTCTGTTCTTTAGATTAAAAACGCGATGACACATATGCAGGCTTCCGCGTAGAACATCGAGCTCTTCCTCCACGACAGTGTACTGACTCAGCGGCTTCACGTCCAACATAGCGATCTTTTTCGCGGAGATAATCGGCGCGAGTGACGCGTTGCGGTCCAAGTGAAGCCCGAAACCAGCTGGACATGGCAAGGGTTCTATCACGGCAGTCTTTACAATCACTCGGCAGATTTCAAAAGTCCCGTATCTCTCGCGTGGATCGATGCTTGCAAAGATTGCGTCGTACAAAGGTTCCATGCAGGCGAACCATATCGTGCATGAGGTTCCACGGGGATCTGGCAGACCCTGGTCGTTTCTCGCTTTAGGATCATACATGAAGTAAATACCCAAATCTTTCCAAATTGCGAGCATACTGCGATCAATCGTTAGAATGCCAGCACGGTTATTCTGGAAGAATTTCCGTAGACCTTCCTCGAGTAAAATCGGAGGTGAAGGTGGTGATCGTTCTCGTCGAATCTCATTCTTCTTGTCTCTATCGATCTTTGTTTTCTCTTTTCGTTCCTTCTTTTGTTCCTCTTCTGCATCCAAAGGCGCGATTGTCACTAAACCGCTCACAGTATTGGACTCGATGTCAGCAGTCAATACGTTGACACCTTGAGGAAAATATTATAAGAGTAAAATTTTAAGTCAGTGTTTATCAAGAATAATACTCAAAAAATACTATCAAGCTACCAATCGATGTTTTTAATAATCACGAAATAAAGAAGACTCACCGATGTAGAATACTCTGATAATATCTTTCGGTCTCAATCTCGACTTGGTCGATCTCGTTTTCTTCGTCTCTCGATGAACGGCACTGCCGATCGCTAAAATCTCATCCATGGTTTTTTTCGTCCAAGTAATGGGGCACTTTACAATCGACATGCCAAGCGCGACGATGCAATTCGCCGCCGTTTGTCGATTGCGCAGCATTTCGGGAAAGACTTCATCACCCTGATGATAGCTGCCATGCAGGATTGCCCGCGCCTCGCCCGGCAATTTTTTGTAAGCATTCAAAGGCGGCAGATTTGCCGGTCGAATCGCCGGACTGGGATCGAATCTCCATGGTTTGTCTCGGTCCAGCACGTCGATCGCGCTGATCTCATAGTCGTTCGTCGTCCCAAGATGACGCAAAAGATACTCTACGAGGAGACTCGCGTCTCTAAATCTGAACACTCGCGGTACCGTCATCGCGATCTCGTTTGCGACGACGGACCAGTCGGGTATCAGGGCATAGTATGCATTGTCGATTTTCCATATGGCGATGTTTCGATTTCCTGATGTCAGCACGCCGGTGTTGTACTTGTCGAAAAAGCTATAAATACCGGTCTGCAAATCTTGAATCTTGGGTGATCTCACGATAAGATTGCCCGCTTCAACGCAATCCTTGATCGTTAGAGAGATGCGTCGACTGGATAAGAAGAATTCGCTGATCATCTCGTTCACTAGGGGCACTGAACCCAGTCGCTCGACGCATTTTGAGTGTAGTTTGTCGCCGGTGACGATGATTTCATCGAGAACGGATGATGTCCAGTATTTCGGTTGATAGACCTTTATTTATTTTTTGCGTATATTTTTTTTCGTAATTTATAATCTTTTCTTCAATCGATTATACAAAATGATTGTGAAGAGTTTATCCTTAGTTACATGGTTTCATAAAAAAGATTCAAAGAAAAGAATAACACAATAAAAAATAACTTTTTCTGAAAGAGTAATTATTCTTCTTTTAATATTAATAGTGAAACAATTCGGAGTCATTTATTAATGTCAAAAAATTTATGAGAAATAATTATTCTTTTATATGTGTTTTTATATGTGTTTTTTTGTTAAACTCTGAATCATTCTTTATAATTTTTATAATGATGAAAATCGATATATGATTATGAAAAATGTATCGTTAATTACCTGGATTAAAACAATTCAAACAATAACACAATTCAATAAAAAATAACTTTTTTTGAAAGAGCAATTATTTCTTTTGACATTAATGCTGAAGTAATTCGAAGCAATTCGAATTTATTAATGTCAAAAAAATTATTGGAAATTAATTACTTCTTTTGTATATTTTTTTTATTAAACTGTGAATTATTCTTTATAATTTTTATATTCGATTCGATTTTAAAAATAACTTTATCGCATCATAATTTTGAGAAAATCGAAAGAAAAAAAATCTTTAGTTATTAAATACGTATAGAAAGACCTTGGAAAAAATGGTAGCCATCGCAGCAACGGCCGCGCTCTGTTTACCACGATTTTCCTCGTCAAATCTCTCATCCGTCATGGTGACGTTACCATCGATGCTCCAGACACCGTCAGCGAGTTTAGGAAAGTGATGCCACAGATTCTCCCCGGAGGTGGTCCTTTTGACTCGTCGTGCCTCGGCCACTCGCGTTTCATACGCGTTATCAACCGTGACAATATCAATGATGAAATCATCATCCTGTTGTGCGACCGCCTGAAGAACGCCGGCCAACGAGGGGATATCAGTGAACCACATCACCGCTGCTCCATCCTTATTCCCAGGTTCACCGCGGGCATTTCTGCCTCTAGGGTCCATCGTGAAGAACACATCCCCTTCCTTCCAGATCGGCATCATCACGTTACCCTGACGAAACACTCCCATTGTGTTTCCTTCGAAGAACTGCTCCAGCAGCCTCGTCGCATCCGCTGTTTTTCCGGCGATGGACTCCTCCTCGAGGCGGATTGACATTCGATTGACACCTATGGTGAAGTCTTCTGTAATTTCCGACGGGAGGAGATAATTCCTGGGTGATTCTTCCTCAGCCGCTTCGGGAAGATTTATTAGGCTCTCGACGGTGACTTTGTCGCCGATCCTCAGGATATCGTCCACGAGCTCGGGATACCATAGATGAGGATTGTAAAGTTTAGTCATGGCCAAGGCCGTCAAAGAATTGGCGGCCTGCTGTTTGTCTCTAGTTTGTCGTTTAAAGGCTTCGTTTCCTTGTTCGATGGTACCTAAAAGTAGAGCGCCGGTGTCGCCTAAAATAGAATAGTTATTCAGATCTGGTATGATCGGTATCAGTTTATCCGCCTCAATCTCTTCGTCCGTCATTGGCATGCTGATAGAGACGTTTTTCAGCTCGTGTATCACGAAATCGTTATTTTTAGGATCCTCCCCCGCGTTCTTCTTGATGAGATTTGCCAATGTTGAAAGATCCAACGTACGTACCACGCAGGCAGAATTTTCTTCGTCTGCCGACAACTGACCCAGTTTATCTCGAGGATTTGGATCAAAGTAGTAGTAGAACGTTTCCTTATCCTTGTCTTTCTCTTTCACTTCTTCCTCGACTTTCCATACCGCTACCGAGAGACCCTTTGTCTCGACTATTCCGTATTGCTTGTTCTCGAAGAATCGACGCAATCCTCTCTCCAAATTGAGCAGCTCGGAATCATCCGATGCCAATAGATCGCCGACGACTGCCGCCTCCTCCATATTGATGGTCACTTTTCGATTCTTGAAGTACAAGTTCTTTTTCAGGTTTTGAACGAGAAGCGGCCTCTCAGTTTCTTCTTCCGTTTCGCCAGGCTTGCACCAATTATAATAAGCATCGCCCTCTTTAACCGCTTCGTCGACAGTCTCGCTACTCCATTTCATCGGTGGCGTCTCCCACGCACTCACTAGAGCCACTACCGGCATAGCGAGACCCTGAAGTCCTTGGTTTTCCTCGAACAACTCGTCCATGTTGGAAATCTCGCCGCGCAATACCCACGTCTTACCTATCATGCCAGGTTGAAACTCATTCCAAGGTCGAGCGCCTGCTACATCGTCTGCAATTGTAACGTGTCTGATTGTGAATCGATCGTTCTTCTTCATTGGGTCGACGTTCTTCAAAAGTAGCGCGATCAACGAGTCGATGTCAGGAAATCGAATCACACAGCAATTTCCGTCCTTATCCTTCGATACAGTTTCCTCCTTTTTTTGCCTTTCTGCAACCTTGACAACGTTCTCTTTTATGATCCTGACGCCGACAGCATCGCAGGATCGAGGATCGAACAGATAGTAACAATCGTCCTGGCTCCAGATTGCCACCGCCATAGATGTTGTCTCGATTACGCCCTCTTCGTTTACCAGAAAAAACTCTTCCAAGGCCTGTTTCAGATTTAACACCGATGGCATCTTGGAGTTGAGCGTGCCGGTTACAGTTATCAGATCCACATCTATCGCCAATCTATGATCATTCACTTGGAGCCTTGTGTCATTCAGATCAGCAGCCGTCATCGTTTTTATCGTTGGCTTGTCCAACTTGACACTAGCATAGAGCGAATCACCGAGCGTCAGAATCTCATCCAATCTCGACCTCATCCACGTCTTCACCGGATGAACCTTCTTCATGGCAATAGCCGCTACGCAATTGGCCACGTTTTGGCCACCCTTGCCCTTGTAGATCTCATTGCCTTCATGAGTCAAACCATGAAGAATTGCCACTTTACCAGGCAACTCTTTGAACGTGGACGGTACATTGACGCGCATATCATCGTAGGAATAGCCGGTGTCAAAATCATTTCGATTCACCAGTGGTTCTGTGGCGAAACGACGATCGATGCTATAATTCGAAATGGCAATCGACAGCGGCTCTCTGCGTATCCTCGCAGATGCACGTAACTTATCCTTAGGCACCGGCTTGGTGCAGTCTAATTTATGTTCATCCGGCAGATCGATAGATCGCAACATACTCTTCCGTATTATTGGCAGACCATCGGGTAGACGATCGATAAAACCTCGTCCGACCTGTGTTTTACTTTGATTTTATTCGAATTTTTTTGTGTAATTTTTCTTATTCTCACACAAGAGAATATATAAGCGAATATACAGGATGTTCCAAAACCTCCGAATATTTTTTAATGGCAGATTCTCTGATCAATTTGGAGTTGATTTTTTTTACCAAAAATGTTGAGGAAGCCATCATAAATCTTTGCAATTAAGCTTAAAATTAAAATTCTATTAAAGTAAATTCTATCTGAAATTAACTAAATAACGAAGTTTTTGTCAACTTTTTAATTTCACAAAGTATAATTTGCAAAAAGCCTTTCTTTTTCAATCACTAGTAATTCGGAAAATATTAATGCTTCGATGTTTTTGTTAAAGAAAAATTATTATTCTAAATAGATAAAAAAAATCTGCTATTAAAAAAGTATCAGAAAGATTTATAAAACAACTTCATAATAAACTGCTATTATCATTACCTCCGTAACACTCAGCACGATGATCTTGTCGATGCAATATCGAGAGTCATAGCGCTGATCCAGGTTCTTCAGCATGTGATCATGCAAGTCGTTCACGCATTTAAATCTCATCAGGCAGGCCGCACCGCCAGGACGACGCAGACCGTTCTCATCGCATGACGCCGGATCAAAATACAGAAAACTTTTGGCATCAGGAGATTGTCGCCAGACGGCAATGGAACTACCCTGCGCGGTGATCACTCCAGAATCATTGTCCCGTAAAAACTTGTGCAGACCCTGGGCAAGATCGGTACAGCCGATGGACCCGCTCAAGATATTGCCATGGATACCGCTGTCCTCGATGCCGACCAGAATCTTGCAGAGATTGACGTAGAACTCGTTATGTACGCGGTCGGTCCTCAAGTATTCGTCGTCCTTCAACCGCGTCCTCGCGACGCTCGCGCGAAACAGCTTGTCACCATGTTCGAGCACTTGATCCACGTGATTCTTCGTCCACTCCTTTGGCTCGAATAAACGTCCGTAAGCGATAGCCACGATCGAACATGGTGCCGCTTGCCGTCCGCGGCTTCTGTACTTGAACCGAGGATCGTTCATCGCACGGGAACCTCGAAGGATGAACAAACGCGACGTGAGAACCCGAAAGCGATGCCATCGTGTCCCGAAATCATGACGAGGCGAGATTTTCTCTTTTCCTTCGGTTCGACTTATATCACCCTCACCGATGTCCTCCATTGTCTTTTAATTTCATTCAAGATTTACCTCTCTTGATATCTGCCAGTCTTCTACGTTATTTCAATTAATTTGAATACATATTGAGAGAGAGAATAATATTTCTTTTCTAAAAATAAGCGGAGAAATTAGCTTGAAATTATAGTTAAATTTATTGAATTTTTATATCTTGTGGGATTGTTTCACACTTGTAAATTTACGAGGATGCTCGAAATGTGATTTATACAGGAGAGAAAGGACAACTGTCAAAAGTTAGTTTGACAGTCCAAAACAAAAAATGTGAGATCGATCAGGTGTCCTGAAAAAAAAAAACATGTATTTATAGCTCCTGCGATATTTTATATTTTCCAAAAAAAGTTATTATGACACATATTCGAGACACAAGATACAGAAAATAATTTACGCTTCTCCTTAAAAATAACAGGAATGTACAGGAGCGATCAGTATAAAGTATACCTAAAATTTTATTACATCAACATATGAAAAACGTAATAAATATTATAAATGTACAAGTATATATAAAGTAAAGTCGAATATAATCTGCTCTTTATAATATCAACATTTTCTTAGCCGAGTAACTATAAAGATTTATGTACAGTATAACGATAACGAAAATCAAGTTTTATAGTTTTAATCGATTTTCTCAAAAAGTTTGCGGAGCCGACAATTTGGTTCCACGAATAATCGGAAAATGCTATATCTGTCGTTGTAACGGTAACAAAATTTTTTTGATTAGCTTCCACGCAATGACAAAAGCTATTACTTTTTATTTACAATGCATATATCTTTCTTTATGTATATATGTATATACTTAACTGGTCTAATCAGATTATTGTAACAAGTTACTAAAAAATATCTACACGTAAAAATATAGATATATATATATATATATATATGTATGTATGTATATACATATAAACACGTATACACATATCCGCGCGCGTGTGCGCATATGTGTCACTAGAATATAATCATATAAACTATATATATATATAGTTACTTCTTATTTAATAAACATCAACGAAAGATCCTTTCAAACAAAAGCTTTTCCCTATCATGTGCGTATGTAAATATATCATTCTTTTATAATATATATACGTATATACGCATATCAGTTTGAGAATTCCTTTGGCTCGCATTTTTCTCCTTTTTTTACGAAATTATCCATTCGACAGATCTAAAATATCATTCTTCTCGTAAACATCGGGCCGATCTAACAATAAGCTCTACACATCGAGGTTTCTTTCGCCGCGCATCAAGCGTAAATCCGTCCCAAACAACGGGCGACAATTACAATATACGTTACACGCGTATTTATCTATTTACATAGACGCACGCAACGCATATTCATCTATATGTGAAATATATAAATCTATGATATTTAAATATTTTTTTTTTTCGTGTCCGCTTAAAGTATCCATTCGTGCGCGATTAGCGCGCGCTATCATTTTATTACACACGTGTGCGAATCGACACAAGTGCGCTTATGTACATTATATGCACACATTTCAAAAATATATTCCTAAATTATCGACATTATTATTCGCGTTAAAACTGTTGCTGCTGCGCGAATGCCCAGCTAAAGAGTCCTACTACGTAAAAGAGAACCACATTGATTTTATTAAAATAGATGTTCAACAGTTACACGCATCTATAATTTCAATGTTAAGAAGAAACATCAGGTGGCCATAAGGGACACTCTCGAAATTGCGGACCCGCGGTCGAGCTACTATGTTACATTAAGACCGCGATGGCAATCTCTGTTCGCTTTCTTTTCTTTTACTTATCATCACAGACGGAAAAGAGTTAGTATTATGTGTTATCAATAGCGTTTTCGCATTCCTCTCCTCTTATCATTCTTCTACCATTCTACTAATTTTTCGCACGCAATCATCGCGTTCAACCACAATCGAGAAGTAATTGAAAGATGAAAAATCAACTCTGTAGAGAACAGAACTCTGTAGAATTGTTTAATGCATCTTCGAACTTCAAAAAATGTAAATTTCGACGGTAAGTTTCGACGGAGAAAACTGCTTATAAAAACAAACTTTTATTATTCCTTCAAAAATTATATACAAGAAAAATTTAATGAAGAATGATGATGAGTCGTTCCATGTACTCGATAAAGAATTCATCAATACGCGAACAGAATAACAGACATGCTCTTAATTTAAATTATGATTAAACATTGTCTGGCATTTCTACAACACGCGCGCACACACACACACATACAAAATTTTTCTCAAACGCTAGAAAAATTAACGGTCATAGGACTCGTCACCGCTTTACTTGTACACCATTAACTGAGATTCACAATATTTTTGCGCTTCTTTCCAAGTATTTAAAGAATTGCGAGCATTCTCGCACCGACATCACACTAAATTATAGCAAACGAATGTCGCTTACTTTCTTCATACGAGAGAAAGAGCAGGGCAAGAGGCGTAAGGAATATCGCGTTGAAACAATGAGACGCGAGAAGAACGAGGGAAGAATGAATTATGCGAAAGATCGATCTTGTTTGTACATCAGTGCCTCTCTCTGCAAGATTGCCTGTTATACGTTTCGCACGATTCGCGTGTTGCATCGCCTCCGCATATGTATATATATGTGACAACATTCGGTGTGTATGCATGAGCGTACGACGATCTTATTCCATGAAAACACGAATGCGGCATGTGCTTCGATACTTTCTTCCTTTTATTTTTTTTTATTACTTTATACATGATATATTCGCATGATGTCGATTAATGAAAATTGAGGTGTGTCCTCTAAAAATTCAATTATCCAAGAATTATTTGAATTGTCTAAGAGAAACATCACGAGAAATTCTCATAAGTAACTTATCCAAATCCGGTACTCTATGTGTATTTGGAGCGCAAGTCGACAATAATTTATATATACATATATATCTATACATATATATGGCAGGTTCAAATTCTGGCAATATATCACATAATTTAATCGGAACATTTTCAAGACATTATTATTAAAAAAGTCTTTATCAATGCCAATGAGAGAATAACATAATGGAGATCATGCCATCTCGCGACTCGATGTACTACTATTTTATTTTATGTCAATGCTACATATAAACTAACATTTTTACTATTGAACGCTCCTGTTTTGGTCCCACGAAATTGCACAATCGCCTCTAATATTGAGATATTAAATATTTTTCTCCGATACAAAAAGTATGAAAAAAACAATTTCGAGGATAATCGGAAAAGTAAAACAATAATAAGGACGCATACATCGCCTACATTGGATACGTTTGGCAAATTTATTTACGAGATCGTTTTTCATTGGAATAATTCGTGTCGCGAATGCAAAATCAGGGATAACGACGTCTAGATACTGGAAGTCGAGATGTCAATATGTAGCTAAAAGATTCGTATGGAGGAAGAATTTAGATTTTGTCTTCTCATTTATTTGTATACTATACAACGATTTGTTGGAGATTATAAATACTTCTTATTATACGCTTGAGTTTTTCTAAAAACACGCATCTGTTCGTCCTAGGTTTACTTATTTACCGTATTTTACTTTCGATTTGTTGTGCGACTATTTGAAAAAACGTATCACGTAATCAATACACATTAATTTGTATTGCATTAGTCTTGAATATCTTCTTCCATTCGAACCTGATAGGAGAGCCTGATATTATTATAATAAACTCCATCCTGTCGTTCTCTATCTATTCTTTATATTGTATATAAATCGTATAAAAATCAAGCGAAAAATAAATTTGGACTGATTGGATGATGGTTTTATGTGAAAGTGAGAGTGAAAAATGGTTTTATGTGAGAGATAAAAAAGGAGAAAAAAATATTATGTCTGAGAGTTCACGATTGGTTTACGATTTTATAAAGAAGTGAACGACATAAAGTATTATGCTTTAACAAATATGAATATATGATCGCTTTTGAGAAACGATCATATGTCTCAGATATATCTTTCTATAGCCAATGTTTTCCTTCAATGTTTTAATAAGCCTAAATGTGTATATGCATGTATGTGTATTTATATGTGTATATGTATATATGTATATGTATATATGTATATAATATATACAGTGAAAGTAATTCTTTTGTTTTTAACAGCCTCTAAAGTCAAGACAAATATTAACTATCTCGGTTAGGGTGCTTGGCAAGAAACCGTCGAGGCCAGGGTAGAGGCCAGTCATATTGTCGTGGCACCGTGCCGCCTACATTCTTCTCGAAATACTTGAAAATAGAGAACCACCAGAGCCGGGCCAAAAAGTTGTTTGGTCCATATTGCTGCAAAGGTTTCGTTATTCTTATGCGCAACCATCACAACAAAAACATGCTTATTAATAGTTACTTTGCGTATAATTAAAATCGCACATATCAATTAATTATAATTCATTAATATTATTCAATATATTATATATACATGCGTCAATATCATTAGATTGATCATTACTGGAATTGTATCGATTATTAAGTTTCGAGAAAAACGGATACTTTCGTCGTAGAATAGATAATTTTCAAATTGAAGCGATCTGAAAGTAGAACATACCTTAAGATTCGAGTTGTTGGCCATCGTGTGATAAATATACCACAAGTTTGTAGTAACGTAGTACGCTATAAGTACATCCACGGTATAGTGGCCGTGAGCTACCAAGACCATAATTACCCCGACGAGAACCGCCAAACCTGCTCCCCAATGGATCGGTTTACATCTCCTCGGAGAATCTGAAATGACGAACAGTTGTCAGTTTTTATCGTCGCGTCTTCTTTTTTTTATCTCTTTAACGATAAAGAAGATACATACATTCTTTAATGATCAGGTAACTGAGCACGAGCACAACCGTGTGCCCGCTGTAAATGTAATCCCCGCAATAAGTGTGCTTGCCGTTGATGGACAAGCCGAAGCCGGAAATGAGCTGCAGGACCCTCTTCGTCACGAGTAGCGGACTGGTGTTGTTCGCCTTCGGGCTACAATAGTAAGTCTTACTGGCGATCGGTAGGACCGTCACGAACATTGTAATGCTTCTCATCATGTAGAGCAACCCCATCAAAAGAAATACACGTCTAACTACTATAAATCTGCACAGAAAAATCAATATTTGATTGTCAGTAAAACCGTCAAATCTTTACCAAGAATCGTTCGCTCATCTTCTACATCGCGCTTACCTATGCTTATGGAAAATTATAAAAACCATCGCGCAGTTGGACATGATCATGATCAAGATTTCCGAGACGTTGAGCGCCCAGTCCTGTGCGACGACATGGTCCAATACTACGTCGGGAAGTGGCCCGTACGAATTCCTGTCCGGGACACGCTCGTGCACCATTGCGAGGGAAGCCGTCGTCAATATAAAATTGACGACCATAAAGAGAAACGCTGAAATCAACAATTTATAATCAATACTTTTTGCTTAGGTAAAAATATCTAGATAATCATTTAGATAAAAAGTGTTTCATCTTGTCTTTATCTAGAATATAAATTATCTCCATCTTTATCTTATAAGAGAAGAGTTATTCAAATTAAGAAGAGTTAAGAAGAGTTTTCTTCAAATTATTTAACATAATGTTTAGCGAATTTATTCTACATATAAATATTTTAATTGCAAGTGTGTATATATTATTTTTTTTCCAGATAGAAAAACATCTGACAAACAATATATTTAAAAAATTATTTTCTTTAATGTATATAAATGGTGAATGAATATCCTAAATTATTTTTGTATATCTTAAATTATTCTCTCTTTTTAAAAGCATTATTATGTTATCTAGAACGCTTTAATTTCATATTTCATCTAAATAACTTTTAAAACCATTTTCTCATATATATATATATATATATATATATATATATTTTTTTTTTTTTATTTAAGGTGTATTCATAAAAATTTTCTGTTATTTTCATTGAATGATTTCGACAGTTACCTTGCAATAACTCTCTTTACGGTTCCAATCATTTAAATGAAAATAAGATAAAATATGTATGAAATTCTATTCTTATTCTAATTCGAATATAACAAACACGCTATTTTTTTCGGACTTTTCTTCTAAGCTCTGAACATGCTTGAGAGTAATTCCAGTATTAATTGACTCTGTCATGCAACGATGATCCGCGTCGTAACAGATCTTCGGTAACGGTACACGTGAAATCCGTTTTGTGCATTTCGCGTGCGTCCAGCTGCTCGTTTCGATTAACTTTGATGCAAGAAGAATCACCGAGATAAAATCCACGTGGAGGAAAAAGGGAATCGATCGATGGAAGGCTCTCCACAAGATCAACCTGCGCGAAAGCGCCTGGTGTTAACTGAACGAATATCAGGTCAACTAACGACCTCGATCTCGATGCAATCCCATGGCGAGCGAACGTCACGGAGAGCGAACCTGAAGAAGCTTTCTAAGATCCGGAATTAGCCGACATATATCTTGGATAAGTCTGCGAGGATCTTTGTGTTTATTTTACTTAAGGCTGCGGATGCATGTTGTAAAACCTTGGGAATCGATAATAAGCAAATCGATCAGAGATGGAGAATCACATTCGAGTAGATTAGATAATTTATTTAGTATTTTAATGAATGCACATACTCTTGTATCTTTAGAGATCGAAATACTAATTCTTATCTATTTAAAATTACGTCACCAAAAAATCATTGAGATTTATAATTGCATCGAATTTATTTTTCATTAATTACTTATATATATATTTTCCTTTCCTCTATGTTTATCAAAATCTTATTTTAAGATTTATTAAAATTACAATACAAAGACGGATAAAAATTATTCTTGTAAATTAATTATAATAAAAGAAATCAATTTGATGATTTTCTAAAAATCAATTGATTTTTCATGAAACAATTTTCTCAGATCTTTCTGGGGAAAGTCTTGCTTCTTATTTAAAAAAAGATGAAAAAAATTTAATTAATTCGCTAAATAAATTAAAATTAAAATTGATATAAATTTATCTCTCAACAATCAAATATTACATTCTATCAGAAATGATATGAATTAGGTTCAATTTAAATTTTAGAAAAGATAACATAAATCTTAGATAACATAATTATGCTTTTAAAAAAAAAGAGGACAATTTAGGAGATATAAAAATAATTTATAACATATTCATATGCTATTCATAATTTTTTTTAATTGTTTGTCAGATGATTTCTATTTGGATATATTTGCCACTTGTAATTAAAATATTTATATGTAGACTAAAAATTTGTTCAAAAGTTTGAAAAAATACCATCACTAAAACTACTAGAATTTGATGAGAATTCGCAATCTTTAATAAACATTCGTATTGATATTGCAGGGCTAAATTTTTCATACATATTTTTTTCTTTTAAGGTAAAGATATACGTATTTACTTCTCTTCGTTCTTAGAGAGAGAAAGGATTGTTTCTTATAAAAAAAATAAAACAATCTAACGCTCTTATTTCCTTACCGAGAAACGTCTTCCACTTTTCCTTGGGAAAGCGTGGCTCCTCGCGAAGCGGCGCCGGTATGTCGATCTTGACGATATCGCTGCCGGAACCGTTCGGTATACTAGGATGTCTGCCCAAGCTCTCGATACTCTTCTCGTCCTCGTCATCCTCGTAGTAGTCCGAGCCTGAGGCCACTCCGGAGGACCACTTGTCCTTGCTCTTGGACAGCGGCGCACCGGGCAACAGTGGTTGCCGTTGATAAACGTCGCTGGACTGTGCCATTCCGCTGCTGCTTCCATCAACCGCCGCTTCAACGTCCCTCTCGTGGCCCTCCCCGGCGCCCAATGGTCGATCGAAGCTTCCGTAATCGTTATGCAAACTGGTGGCCTTGGGATCCAATACCATCCTATATACACAGAAGAGAAATCGAACTGTCCTGATCGAAGGACTTGATTTGCGTCTTATATTCTAGGATGCCATCGAAAAAACATTTCGCCGACATCATCGGCAGCGAAGTAGCGAAGCTGATGTTGTTTTATCGCGTGAAAGAATGATCAAGCTATGCTTTTTGTATGCAAATTCGCAGGATAAAAAAAACTGCTTTAAAATCGCATTTAAAACATGTCTCATCAAACAATGTTTTACTGTTCGATCATTTATCATTCCTATATTATTAATAGCTCATCGGTGTCATCTCTTATCAGAAACACGTGATCGATTGAAAAGTTTTCAAGATATGTATAAAAAAATTATCGTATTTTCATTTTCAATTCCCACTTTATATCTCGATATCTTCTCTTCTCGTCGCTCGAGAATCGAAGTTTATTCCTAACATAATTGAAATACTGATCAGGCCCGTCACATCGATGCAGCTGATATTAGACGTGACACAATTCTTCGATCAGCGCACATTTATCTGGAGAGCGCCCATCCGCGCGTCACGCCCCGTAAAGCACGATATTTTTAGACATTTATCGCATAAAGGGAAAAGGTTATCACAAGTAGGAAGAGGACGCGCGGATTTTAAATTCGCGTCGCGAAACCGATTGACTACCGCGGACAGAAGCGAAAGTGATGCGAAACAGCGAGGACACGTTAACCGGAAGCGGATGCGCTGCGATGGTATTTACCGGAAACGTAGAAGATGACAATTAAGCAAAAAAAGAAAAAATGTATGTCTTTCTCTTTTACACAGATTTTGGGTCGTCATATTACTTTTGCAACAACTATTAATATATGAATAAAAAAATATATTTTATTTAGTAAAATAAAATAATTTAATATATTATTAATTATATATATATATATATATATATATATATATATATATATATATAATATATAAAACGTATAAATATATAAAATTATTTCAACCGGGGCAACCAGTCACGCTCAGGTAAAAAAATTTGTTTTCTCTTACGTAGTACATTTTTTCTGCGTCCACTGTGCTTTCACTTGCGAATAAAAATATATTCGAACGCGATGCCAAAAATTTTTGTATTCTCTTAATAACATTTTTACGCAATACTCGTCACTTTTATTGGTGTATGTCGATTTTTTCCCTACACCAACGACGAACTTCCCACTTCAGATGCGATCGGACACACTCCAAACGAGAATGCGTAGTATTTGTACGAGATATAACGACGCTTTTCAATTTATGAGCTATATTCTACGCCTATCGGAATGATATGTCCATCTGTGATATGAATGTTTAATCATCAAGGACTACGGTTAACGCGATATGTGATTTCGTGGGAAAGGTGACGGCTGTACCTCCACCTGGCAATTCTAACGTTAAGCGTTAAGGCTAAACATTATTCGCGTTTATTGAACGAATTACGGCTCGACGATGCAGAAAAGTGGTAGTTTGCGCTCATTCAGTCCATCGAACGTCGAGAGCGCTCACCAAATGATTCGTGTTACAGTACACTACGACGGTGACAAACGAGGCATAGAAATAACCGAATATGAACTAAAGAAAAGTCTCACTCTTCAAAAAAATAAATGTAATACGATCTTGTTAGATATACGTTCCGTAAATATCAATCGAGAAAAAATAATTTCTCTTGTGTAAAAATAAGTAGAAGATGTCAAATATAATTTTATTAATTTCCATAATTCATAAGAATATAATTAATTACATATATAATTAAAATATACAATTTTCTTCATTTTCGAGAAAATTGTAAAATTAAGCTCTAACAAATTTATGTCATACACAGCAATTATTAATATATGAATAAAAAAATATAATATTTCATTTAATAAATCAATTAAAATAATTTAAGTTATATTTTGAAAAAAATTATGTATAAAAGATCCAGATTGTATCTTTTTCAATAAATGATATATTTTGATAACTACTGTCAAGATGAATATATTAATATGTATATAGTAATAATACAATATTATTAAAAAATAATAATATTGTATTATTATTATATACATATAGTCTAATAATACAATATTATTAAAGATTATATATTCAAGTTTAAACAATTACAAATATACTATCAATTTTTCAAAAATTATTTTTCTCGAAACAAAATTTCGTATAATATAGAATAAAAGCAAAAAGATTCTATATTTTCGATTTACGTTTTCAAAAGAAATTATTTTTTTACTCATAATGCGATAAAAATGGGACACCCATCAACATGATCCTCTTTATGACTCGCATAAAAGGTGCGAGTTTCTAGGGCGAGTCCCTAGAAACTCCCAACGCGGTTACGTCCGGAAAACCTTTTGTCAGAAAACGAATTCCCAAGGCGGATATTGCTTTTACGAGGTCAAAAGGTGGGATCGTCGGAATGTGGTTCTTCGGCCAACATCGATAAGCCATGATACCTTTTTATCTCGATAACTCTTTTGATTATTTCGAGCAGTGATCTCGTGATCGACAATTTCTTGGAAAGGAAATCGATTCTCTCGAAATTGTGACGATTAATTCGGATGCCGCTGTTATCTAATTAATTTTTCGTGGGTCATGACTTGGCTTTTATGAATTAAAGCGAAAAGAATGACACGAGAGACGATGCTCGCGCAGGAACTGCTCGTCAAAAAGAGCAGTCGAATGATTAACCCTTGTTTATGCGTGCAATAAAGAGCTCCCTTGGACAAGCCTTTAGGGAGCTCGAGAGAAGAATATAGTACCGGAAATCAGATTGCGTCAATTGATTATGATTAAAAATTCTTTGTTCACGAAATATCGCGCAAGATTTTAAATCTTATAAATTGGAAGAAATCATTATTATTACGGAATCATTTTTCATCAAAAATTAGAAAATACATCATGAAAATAGCTTTATACATATATCCTTTAGTTATTTTCAAGTAAATTTAATCTCGACGTCTCTTCATGCGCAATCACATAATATATTTAAAAAGGCCAGTTGATATGTAGGGGTGCTTAGAACACGACTACAGTTCATTTGCATAACGATGCGGGTTGTGGGGTAATGCAACGCAGACTAATCTACAAGTCCTACTTTACAGTACAACATTCGTGTGTGTGTGTGTGTGTGTGTGTGTGTGTGTGTATGTGTCCGTCCGTTTGTCCCTGTTTTATTCTAATAATTCACAAAGCTCCTTAAGAGCGTCATTCCATTACACACACACACCTGAACCAAAAACTTGCGTCAAGTTTCTGCACGAGAAAGTCGAAAGTTAGATGCACGAGAATTATAATCGTCGACAAAATATATCGTATGAAGCTTCTCCATTTTAAACCGTTTTTAAATTTATCCATTGAATTCGAATAATGTTTAGCCTGTATCTCACTTTCCTTCAACTGTTGAATTTCGTTTAATTGCATATTCGATATTATACGTAAAAAATTAATACCGGCTCTTAAAGGCGGATTATTCACTTAAATTCATTTAAAGCCACACACATTCGTTTCTTTAAGATCTTTATATGCTGCTCTAATATGTAAAAGACTCAATAGAGAATACCTTCGTAGCAGGTGGACGTATTCACACAACTAACATTCAAGAAATGTTTGCTAAATCCATTAGCACGGAAGTTTGCAGCAAAACTTTGCGACAGCCAAGCAGTTATCATAACTATTAGACGATAGTCACAATGTCAAATTGCCACACGCTACCCAATTACGTTCGCAATTTATTGAGACGATAAACGAGCCTTTGCAAAAAAACGATGCAAAATACGTGGACTTGTCGATATAAATGTCAGCCAGCAATAATCAAGATTTATAGGCACTCCCATATTTGTACAATTGCGCGAGAGCGCAATCATTAATCTCGAAAGAAATTTCACGAAAGAATCTGCGTATAACTTAGCTCTCGTTACAAATATTTAAATTGATGATTCATATAAAGAGTAAATATCATATACATATACCGATAACAAGTCGAAGACGTTTCGATACTTCAAATAAAAATCATTTGTCTAAAGGGAATTATTCAACAGATGATACGAGTGAGCGAAATAAAAATAAACATTTAAAAATAAAAAACTAATTAGTTTTGTACAAGGGAAATTTTTTTTACTTTCTTTTCTATTGAAAAATTAAAAGACACGTTCTCGTGGAATCCTGACCTTCAAACTTTATCGATTACTTTGCATACAATGTCTGCGGGTAACGTAAGATAAAAATACACCGATTGATCAAGGAGCAAAATGTGATTTATAACCCAATTAATAAATAAACGTGAAGTAGCAAAACACAAAGTTATTAATTTCACGAGGGAAATGTGATTTATGATCCGCGAATCGAATTCGTTGTCTCGCAACAATCAATCATCCAGTGCTCGCGATTTACATAATTATGACTGATGGAGCGATGTTTATTTCCGATTACGATGCTCTTATCTTCAATCGGAAAAGCGATCGCAGATGCAGTTTATGATTGCCAAATTCGGTTTCGACCGCGAATATATATCGCGCATGCTATTTAATTTAATGTTCTTAAATTAAATTAAACTACTCCAAATTACTATCCCATCGCAGGTCGCCGACTACGCAATATATAATTGTACGGAACTGCGCGATCTTTTCGTTGCGTAAAATGGAAAATTGCATCTGATTGTAAGTTCTCTGCAAAATGCTGGAAATTTTTTTTTTGCAAACTTTGACGCTATACCACGTTTACATAAGAAAAATCCGCTTGTTTACACGAGAAAAATCAAAATTCATCAGAGTTGGATTATTGTTGCGAGATAACTTTATCGATAAAATTTAATGTCGATTGAATCGGCTTACGTAATATGTACGTGTAAATATGTGCCTCAACACAAGGAAATATTATCATTTTTAAATACAATATTGCGCACAACTGCTCAAATGAAAGATTAAAGTTGCATGAGAAAAATAAGAGAAATTCACAATTTTTATTTCATTTTTTAAATCCCTTCTTATCGGATTTTATTCCAGTTCCTTCCC